AGGATCCAGTTTTAAGTAATTTGCAAAATACTTTGATTGTCATATTTTTAAAATCCTTGTATTGGACACAAAAATACAGCTGCACATGATACAGTCCTACTTTTTAACAGGCAGAAGAATTCTCTTAACAGCTGGCAGTATCAGTGCGTAGTTCAGTAGTCCATTCATCCAAGGTGTATTGGCACTATTCTTACTGACATGCTTTAGCCTACGAGAAAGATCTACAGCTGTAAGCATAATGGACTAAAACTAATACTCCCTGAAAACAAATATTTAATTTCTGAATGTTAATGGTCTGGTACTTGTGAACACAAACTATTTAAGTCTTCTGTCTTCCCTTCATCATCAGGTACTCCCAATTCCAAACAGAACAGAGGTTTTGATTAACAGTGGAAAACTGAAAGACCTGGGACAAATCACATTTTATATAACTTGCAACTGATGGTTGCATTTTAATAATTTATTTTTCTGCCTACAATTCTCTACTATATTTTCCCAGTTTGCAAATTTTGYCTCCAAAGTTAAAGACTTGCAGCATTTCACATCCTCATCCATCTCCAAGAGCAATATCAATTTGGCAGGCTGCAACACATATTGAAATGGAAATTTTGGAAGTCACTCTGATGTGATCAATCAAGTTACACCTGAATTTAAGAATAACAATGACAGTGTTGAAATCACAATGATTACTGTGGGTCATGTTAAAGTATGTTTTGCTTGGTGCATATTCAGTGAGGCAGTAAAACTTCAAAAGCTGCCCTGAAGAGGATCCTGGGGGGCAGAATGAGTTGTGAAGATGTAAGGAGGACAATCTAGCCTTAGATTAAAAATTCATTAATAAACCTTGGACTCAATGATCTTGTTGGTCTTTTTCAACCTCAATGATCCTTTTGCCACGGATGAACAGCAACAACAATAATACCAATCTTTGAAGACATTACTTTTTTGCAGGGCAAGTAAAATGCGCCATAAAACCCCCAAAAGTGTCTTTTGTTTGTGTCCTTAAATCACCTAAGGAGACTTGGATGTTCACCTTACCTTCTCAAATGGCCCTATCAATTTTATATTTAGTCTTGGCAAACTGCCTTTTCCTTAGGGAGTAAAAAAAGCAAAGAGGGAGAAGGGTTTTAAGCATACTATTTGTACTCTCAGGTGCCTCATATCTATTACTGTAGCATGTATCTATCATAATTTCCACCTGTAAAAAAACCCAGACTTTGAAAACCAAAGGCATTTAGAAAAATTCTAAAATGTTTCCAGACTGGAAAAATTAAAGGAGACTCTCAGCCTGGGAACACCTTGTTTCAAAGACCTCTCAGTTTCCCTGAAAAGAAACTGTGATGACAACTGTCCAGGAGAGGAGATAACAGGAAACACCTTTTGGAAAGCATATAGAATGAGAGAGAAGTAGGGTTGCATCATCACTGTTTTATGAGGGAAAAAAAAAAAAAAAAAAAAAAAAAAGAAAGCTATATTATCAATTTTGAATATAGGTAGCTGTATTTCGCCCCCGAGTTGGCCATAACAAGACTATTGTGGCCTTTTCTCTGAATGTACAACCTTTGCAGAAGACCGCGGAGAGGCTTTAGCTCTGAAGAGCGGGAATCAAGCACGTGGGAAGGAAGGATCATGCTGGGCATTGTTYAGTCCCATTCCTTGGACTGCATCGTCCCCTGGTGGTGTGAGAAACAGTTAAATGATTGACAGACTCGATTTTTTAAAAAAAATAAATTTATATATTTACATAATGTATTGCTGTACAAGGAAGATTTTATCAGAAAATATCTTTATTAGGGGAAAACTTTCAAAATCCTTTTTAAAACAATGTCTACAATTCCCAGGGACATTTTGTTCCATTTTTATTATACAACAACCAATGTTTTTCTCATTCAGGTGTTAACTTAAGATGGACTTTCCTACCTTAATTAATAAACAGGTTATTTAAAATCTCAGTGCTGATGAGATGCTGGAAGTTAATGGTTTTAATTTAGCCATATAGGTTTGTTAAAGAATGCAGGATCTCAGACTGAAAGTTTTGCAAACTTTAGTCAAAACACAGGTAGTAATACTGTTATTCTATTGACTAATGAATTTGATTCACCTAGATTAGACGTTGGATGTGCTTTTAGAAGTACCATCTGGAAAAACATTAGGATATCTTAACATGTATAGGGTGAAAGCAACAAATTTCTTATTTCCCCTGTCCAATTCAGCAACAGATTATGGCCACGCATACTTAATACCAGGGCAAGTTCAACTCTGCTCCAGTGACCTCTGCCTCTGATCTTTGGCTCATTATCTCAGGGCTTRTTTTCTAAGTGTAAAATAGGGAGGTCTGTCATGCAATGATTATGTGAAAGTACAGAAATGCATTCTTCAGGGCCTCATTGYAAGAATATTCTGTTTCCTTTGGCTCCTCTCTAGGGCTTTAAAGGACAGAGACAAACAGAAAAGATTAAAATGTGTAACAGGGAAAGTGTCTGTGATCAGGAAAATAAACAGGTATTTTTATTATTTTAGAGGATCTTAGTGTCTTTGAAGCTATGAAAGGAAAATCTTGATTAAGGATTTGATCACACAAAGCACTTGATCCTTTTTTGTTCTCCTGATTTCTGTCAAGAGCAGTTAACACTATTTTTTAGTATCTGTGAATTCCTGGGTTGAGCAAGTAATGACTAACAGCATTCATAATTTCTCTACAGAAAGCTCTAGTGAAAAGAGATAATGTACTGAAGCTGTGATTCCACAACAATCAAGGAGTAGCCCATTATTGACCTCATGGCCACGTCCTTCTCCTACATTTCCTTGTCTTTCCCTGGAGCTAGGACTGACACTCAGCCCAATCATCTGCTGATATATTCACACCTTAAAATGCTAGGAAATTATTTACTTTTGGTTTTGGTTTGTTGAGTTGCTTTTTCAGGGTGAGGACATGGGTTAGTTAAAATTGTATCAGAAGGTGCCYTGTTCTTTACGATCCCAGTCACAAAGGTGCTCAGATTCTATAAAGGACCTCTTAAGATCCTGATTTTTTGAGACCACACTAAAAAGAAAAGGAAGATAGTATAGATAATCATATGACCCTTCAGATGCTGGAAGCCCCAAGTTGTACAGCATCGAATGGGCCTCTGATCRCAGCACAGCACACCCTGCAAATCCCATCCCAAGTTACCTCACTGCGGTCATTGTAACTCTTACAGAATTTTGCCAAAGAAGCCAACAATATTCCTCATTTCTACTGTCAGACAGTAAGGATGTCCACCTGAGAACTTGCTGCCCTGATAAAGGTGTGGCCAGGCAGGGAGTGTAATCACTCTGACCAAGCAGGAGCTGCCACTATCCCAAGAAGCTGGCTGATTTTCTCCTGCAGTAAGGGATCTGCGTGGCACAAATCAGCAGGCAGCATATGCAGCAGAGCACAGCCTGCACTTTTACATCCATATAGCAACAATACCAACCAGTTGCACAAATTAAATATTGAAATCCTTTTAAATGAAATACTAAAATCAGACCAGCATAAAAACATTTGCCCATGCCCAATTATGGTTTTATCAAATTTAATACTCTAAATTGTGGAGACATTGGACAAATAGTAAATGAAAAAATTATATTTCTTTTATGTGAAAAAGATAATTAAAAAACTTTATCAATATACTAAAAAATAATTTGATAAAACAGCCTTTTAAATTGAGATTTGTAAATTGTTTCAGGCAGACAACATGTGACATGCTGCTGCAAGGCATTATGTGCTACAATTTCAAACATCAATGCCTAATTAGAGGTGGAGGAACATTTCCAACACACCTAGTTTTTGATTTTAAAAAGAGGCTTCTTGTTGGTTTTGTGCATTTTTACTTAGCTAAACCGGATCCTCYAGGTTTTTCTGTTCTTCTCTCAGCTATGAAAAATTATGCATAACTGCATATGTGTCTAATCAGTACAGCACTTTTTAAGTTACATGATTAAAAATTCAATTTCAAAAGAAAATAAAAATTACACCATTATTGACATAATCTCAACAAAGTAGGGTAGAGAAATGCATGAGTGTGTTTCTCAGAGCAATAGAATCATTTCAGCCAGAAGTACCCTGGAAGGTATCTGATCCAGCTTCATCTTCTAAGCAGTCCCAGAAGAAAAAAAAAAGGCTCTAAGATGGCAAAACGTTTTCATACTCACAGATGCCACCAAGATAATTACTGATCTTAATGTTACAGCAAGAAGTTTGAAGGGCTTTCTTCAAAAATTGATTATGTTCTAAGAATGACCAAAGGTCAGGTAAATGCAAAACAACTGAAAAAACATCTGAGACAAAGATATGAACTCATGTATATGTAACACTTCAGTATGAGGTTTGTTTCCCCAGAAAGCAACATTAAAGCATTCTTYCTACCAGTCTTCCTCTCAGTCTTTATAGCATTCTTCATATTTTAGTTTAAAATGCTTGTAAATACATATCTCAGCTAATTCTGAAAGTTTTCTTGTGAAGTACATTTAGTTCATAACATAGTTCTCCTGCTCTACTAAAAATGCAAATTCTCAAGATCAAACTCAGACTGAGTCCTAAAACATCTGGCAAAACAGCTAAACCATCAAGGAATCTGGCTCTTGTACCAGAAAACCATTACATTACACTACTGCTGATTACATTAAAAGTCYTCTGAAACTGCTAAGTATAACTAATAGTATTTATTCATATTAGGAATTATGCCTTAAAACATCTGTCAAAAATAGGGGAAGACTCTGCTTAGGGGTTTTTTTTCATCTCTATGGACTATTCCTATCTTATGGTGTAGAGCCGTAGTCTGTAAAAATAAATTCAACTGCCAAATTTTTAGAATAGATTAAACTTAGTGAATTATAGATCTTTATAAGTGACCATGCAGAGCATACTTTTTAGTGTTTTTAACCAGTTTTGAAACACCATGGTGTATTTCCTTCCTGCACCTTCTTTTAGGAATTCATAGTTTCTTCATCTTTGGATATTCCAGTTGATAATTTCCTTATTTCCCTTTAGATGTTTCTTTTTCTCCGTTTCTATTCACTTCCATGTCTTCTTTACTCTGCTGTCAAAAACAGATATATACAAAATTTTGAGCATAATTTCTTAGAGTAAAACTACATTTCTGTCTTCCAGAAACATTTTAAGAAGTAAAATTTCAAAATGAAGAAGGAGATAAAGGCTCTAATTTCAGTTTTCAAAGCAGCTGTAAAATGTATGAACAGTCTTTAGGGTATCTTGCAAATGTTTTGTAGCCTGAGTCCTTTCATGAATTCAGACCTCAGCTGCTTGTTCAGCCATTGATGCTTCATGAACAATCCAGCAGAGAAACAGATAGATCAAACTTATTTGGTCTCTACTGTGTTTGTCTGGTGCTAGAATCCAAAATCCCTTTTTGTAGCACCATACTTTAAAGTCAGGTACACATTTTGCTTTCATATAAGTCTTACTGTAAAAAAAAATTAGAAATCACAGGTTAGTTATGCAGGCAAAGGTACATACCTGCTAAGAAATAAAACTATTTCATGCTCTTTTGGACTACTCAGCTTTGATTATAATCTTGCAGGTTTTGACTGAGGAAGTTTTACAAGAACTTTTACATTTTCTAGGTGGGCAGAAACACGCCAGTTCTCCTAAAAAGGTTGAATTGTAACCATTTCTATCAGTTACCTGAGTGGTTGTTTTAAATTTAGAGAATGGTTTTGCTTGTGGATTTCTTTTCCTCCAAGTTGGTGAGTTAGAAGATCCTGAAGTATATTTGCCTATCGGAAAAACACACACATTGTTTCTTAATTTTAGCACAATTTCAAGAAAGACTCTTTTATTCTGATATGTGAATTAAATATTACATTAGCTGAAGTTTCAATAAATGCATCAGATGAATCAGACATCACCTCTGAAACAAATGCTAGTATTTAAGGCAGACTCTAGAACTGTAAAGACAATTTGTAACACTGCAGCATTTCCATGAGGCTCATGGGATCCTCCAGATGAGGAGATTCTGCCATGGACATCCTTGGTTTTACCAAAAAGAATGTTCCTGTGCTAAAGACCTTGCCAAAGGCATCAATYGCTTCCGTTTTATCCCTGCTTGTGAAAACACTATATGCAAGACTATATTTTGTTTTTGTGCTGGACAGTTGATTATGCTTCAGAATATGCTGCTTAATCACAAAGCATTTTTTTTAAGAAATTTGAATTAAAAATGAAGATTATTAACCTTCTTCTGTTAATTCCATCTTAATGTGATTAATTCAAATCATTAATTTYGTTATAATCAATATTTGCAGTTTATACACAATGTGTAAATATTACCATAGTTTTCTGTTTGTGTCCAAAATCTCCTATTGGTGTCAGTCTGATTCTTTTGTTTGGAGCTTTTCTGACCATAGGACTCAGGAACTGCTGGGAAGAAAGGCAGCAAAAATGTTGATTGCTCTTATGACAAAAATGCTGATTACAATTTTTTCCAAAATGTTCTACCCTTTTTTAACCTGGAAATCTAATAAAACGCTTCACAAAACTCTTCACATAAAGAATGTTCTCTCTATAATCTCTATACCAGCCTGCTCACATTTAATGAAAGAAAACATTCTAAGAAAAAAGAAAACAGACACAGCTATTTGTCCCCAAGACAAATTCCAAACCGATGCTGGAATTTGTTTCACTTAACTTCATTCACACTAAAGTAGGCATTACTCTGTCTGAAGGAGGTTCCTGTTACTAGAAATTAAGAGAGGGAGGCACCTCAAAATGGAGAATCAACCCATCTTAAGAGAGATGACTGAAACTGGCAAGATTAAATCACTTTCTTAACTTGTCATTATTTAAACTATTTACCACTAAATCTGCTGACAAAGTGACAAATGAAAAAAATACAATTATGMAGAGAAACCATGGACATAAAAAGAGGAAATTCAAATAAAACCCAAAAGATGTACCAGATTGGGTGAGGCTATATTAGCATGATAAAAATAAAGTGAAAGATGTAATAAATCTGAAGCAGATTGCCATAAAGAAAGATTCAAGACTCAGAATCCCACCTTGTAGGTTTCTTGTCAAATTAATGACATAGCACRTACCATCAAGAAGACAGTAAAGTAAGATGAAGGGAAGTATTATGGACAGCAGAAAGAATAGTCTTCTGTCCAACATAATTAATGTGAAAAAATACTACTAATGTATTACCACAAAGATTTATACACACTTYTCTTATCAATTTAAATGCAGTATAAGACCCAAACCTCTGTTTATTCAAGATAAAAAATAATCCCAGATAATGAAAATAAATACAAATCCATAATAATGAAAACTCCATAGATAAGTTATTATTCACCTGCAGGGAACACAAGTCAATACAGACAGGCATTTTAAGAAATCTGTGTAAGCAGGAACCCACCTGTAGATCCACTGAATTTCGGTTTTTGAGTGACAGTCCGGTAGACTACATATGCTGATCGTCGAGGTTCTGGAGAATTTAAATTACTGTATCTTCCAGTTTCTCTCCCATAAGGACTGGAAGAAGTAGTTTCGTCATCCTTAGTTTGACCTCTTTGCTGGTAACTTGGTTTTCCTTTGGGGTCCAAAGTGTGAATTCCTAAAAGAGCAAATAAAAGTAAAAAAGATTGTGCTATTATTCAAAATTTCACAAATGCGGGTGRCCGGAGGCTGGACAACGAGATTTAAAATATGTTATTGGCAGACAGGCAAATCAAAGTATGGGTTGYCCATATTTGACACTAAGAACAGAAATTAACTAGATACTGGTAAATCATCTCACAGTTTAGTGAATAGAAATGAATAAGCCAAAGTATTTTTTTTTCAAAATACCTTTGCCAGTTATTGCATTAGCTGAATTTCTTCGGTCCTCAGAAATCCTTCTATTTTCCTTTATGTCCTTACAGTGGTGGTTCTTTACCAAATCAGTGTGGTTTGTTTCTGAGGGATTAAAATAACACATATTCACTTTTTTAGAAAGTACAAAAAATATTATCCAAAAATGCTCCCACTTCATACGAGGTCACTTTGGGTGGAACATGGTTTCAGAAGTTAATTATTCTAAAAGTTCCATTTCAGAAGGAAAACACACTTGTCTATATTTCCTCTAGCAGAAAAAGTCATTAAATCCAACCAAAAAAATTAACTCTAAATGCAAAAATCAGATCAYCCTTTCTCTATACAGCACAGGTATGGACCTCTGGAACACCCATGGTTGAGCCCATGGAGACCAGTCATTGTAAATTAACTACAGCGCTCTTCTCCTGGCCCCTGATACACTTCAGGAAGATGTGGCTTTGTTCTTCCTTTTCTCCTGCTATTGTAAATAAGCACTTTTTGTTTCTCTCATTTCAGGCCAAAATGTGGTAGAAATTCTCTACTTCTACTTCAGTTTATGGGGTAGTTTAAAGACAAAAATCTGTCCTSTTTTTGTTCTTTTTACTCTAAAACTGCAAAGAAATAACTGGATAACAACCCATTCACAATAAGATTTTCTACATTGACAAATATATTCTGAAATTCTCTTGTGAGAAGGATGAAATTTATCATCAAGGTACTTTGGTGTAGGTATTTTAATTTGTATGTGACTAGGTTTTAATAAACACAYTTTATTCTAAATGTTATGCTCTTTCCTTAACTATATTTTTTCTGATTTTATTAAGTCCCATGTTCTATTAGACACCATCTACAATCAAATCTGTTTTACTTGATGGAAGTGGAAAGTGCACAGCACTCCATATGATCTAACGTGCAAGCATCAAGGGCTTTAGTAACTCAGGGACTCACACTACCAGAGGATGCAAACTGGCTGAAAGAACCAGAATTAAACCATAACATACAACAAGTGTTGTCATCTTGCAGTGAAGGAAATCACACTTTTAATGGAAATTTCTCTTCAGATTGTTTTTACACAAATATATAATGTTCATCATACTTGCAGAGGAACAAAAGTAATCTAATCTAAAAATTTGGAGATATAATATTGAAGTACCTTTCATATTGGAATACTTTGTTGTAATAGGCTCTTTTTCCCGAGGTAGTACCTCCAATCTGCTCCCATCAACAAATGCGCTCCTTTGTATCACAGTACCACCACCTCCTGTAGGAAAAAAGCCTTACAAAATTATCCATACTCAAGAGCACTCTCAGAAAGATGAACAATAGAAACAGTCTGCATTTTATTTGGCATGTCTTTAGCTGAAGTGAGTATAAAAGTACAATGAACACAATGAAACCAATTAGCTGACTCAATAAGGCCCACAAAAATTGGAAAATATAGTCTGTATAAAAAGCTTTAAATACATATAATTGTGAACATGGATTTAATTATTGAATTGTGTCTCAGTGGTATCTGTTTATACAGACATAAAGAATATTTTAAAAGAAAAATACTTTTGTACATAAAGATTTTAGAATGTAAAACACATTTCTACTGTGCAGTGCAGTTCTGGAGCTAGAAAACCCACACCAGTTTGCTCCAAACTAGAGCAAGTAGCCCTAGCATCATACTGCACTATTTAGCATTGACAAACCAGGAGGAAAAATAGTACAATTATTATTATTATTATCACTAATAAATATTTATTAAGAAAAGTATTGAATAACACTAAGTATTAAGTAAATTCAGGGAGAATGGGGCATTCTTTAACTTCAATGACAGGATTCAACACTGAACTGAATTGGCAAAAATAGTGTGTCTTCATTAAGGTCAAGCAAGTTCATGCAGAATGGTAGGATCCTGTTACACAAGAYGAAGGATTGCAGCTTTGTTATTTTTCTGCAGGATAACTGAAAAATACAAAGCATATTCATCCTAACTATGAATAGTCCCACAAAACTAACAGGTTTTGAAAGCATTTTGACTTCAGAGAGTCACAGAATCACAGTCACAGAATATCCCTGTGTTGGAAGGGACTCGCAAGGATCAAGACCAGCTCTTAAATGAATGGCCCAGACAGGAATTGAATCCATGACCTTGGTGTTACTACCATGAGGCTCTAACCAACTTGTCTGCATCTCTACACTTGCTTTTTCATAACTCCAMAGAACCCTGTTTTTCCCAAAATCAACTGTAATCTGCATAACGGATTCCAGTACATTCCTAAAATTAGCCTAATATATAATTATAAATAATGAGTTTGATGGTTACAGTTAATGGTTCAGMATGAGAAAGAGTGTCTAGAACATAAAGAATATAGAATAACTCAAATGCAAAATGGTGAAGTGTAATGCATATTCAGTTATTTTATTTACTACATAATGTTCAGCAATGAGAAGCTGATGCTACAGTATATTACCTCCATTGTCAAAAGATTTATAATCTGTTCTGGGAATACTCTCTATTGATACTCTCCTTTCAGAACTCTCTTTTTCTTTTCTTGTATTATTAAATCTTGTAGGAATTGTATTACAATCACCTAGAAAGGCAACAGAATGAATGTTTATCTGTGTATAGGAACAGGTAAYGGCACTGACATTCTCTTCCTTCCTCCCACCCCTATGGACCATTGATTAGCTTAATGCAATTGCTCTTAAGCTCTCATTTCATAACCTTTTTTTCTCTTTCATTAGTTATCGGGATACTGTCTAGTGTAACTGATGTATAACTTTCATGCTGTCTAGGAAAAGATCATAATTCATAGATTAAAGAAGACTATGGCTCCAAAGTAAAGACCTAGGTAATAAATTACCACTTATTCATGAGTTTCTCACTATCCATGAATTGTTATGCAACCCATCGACTGAATTTATGGCATTTTCAGAATACATGTAATGGTACCTAAAGCCTCAGAGAACTCAACTGAAAAACTCTTTTGGGGAAACATATCTCTTAATGCATCTAGTGATAAATAAAAACACTTCTTAAAAGGTAACATTTTTTAACACTTCTTAAAAAGTAACATTTGTTACTGATTCCCTCATCTATATTCTAAATATGTCTATGTATTTGTTAGAAAGAGTTTATAAAAACTATTTTAACAACAAACATTTTAAATTTAGAAATTAGTAGAGAGTAATGAATAAAGAACCATAAGAACTGGGGTAAATTTTTATAAATTTGTATTCCTTTGACCTTATTTATTTTGGATAAAGCCCAGAATTCAAAACAAAATGCAACTCTTTTGTCCCTCTCTTTTATAAGGCAGTACAGAAAAGTTTTAGGTATCACTACATTTTGACATCAAGACATCCAAGATAGCCAGCAGAGATCACCACACACCTCTGGGAAACAGGCTCATCTCACCTTTCTGTGCCATTGTCTGTTGACTCAATATATATGAGATCTATAAGAGATCCTGTCTCTCTCCAATAAAACAGAGAGCCTCAATGAGAAATTTATAAACTACATTCCTAACCTCAGGATGAATAAAATTAGACTACATACRTTTTATAATGAAATTAGGTGAAATACCTATGTAGTGTATGTCAGAAAAGTACACAGTGGGTTAATACTATTTCCCATTTCTACTTTTTTCATCCATAACTGATGGAGGTCATCACCACAAGTACGATTATAAACATGGCAAAAGAGAATGAACTGATTTTGTAATAAGCTTACAAATACAAATATGTGTTTTGTAATATTTTATTTTTGYTAAATTTAAAATATGGGGAGGAAGAGAAACCTATGCAATAGTATCTCCCTGTTACAGCAATTTTAACAGTGGTAAATACAGTCTAAAGAAATCAAAAGACTTGCCTTTCTGCAAGTTTTGTTCAGTAGCTTCCAAGGGTAAAAACTCATCTTGCCATGGTGAAGACACAGTTTTTGCTGATTGGTGTTTGTAAGGGTTCTGAATCCCATAATACTCTCCTACACATGTCCCAAGAGGGAAAAAAACAAGGCTTAAAGTTTACCATATTGGAAGCATTGCTGTTTAGGAAAGAGTGACTAATTTAATATTTACCAGACTTATAACATATATCCCTTATTGCTCTTTCCTCTTCAATATCTGTAACAGTCTTAGGCATCCAGTTAGACACATCTGTAGGAAATATTTGTAAAAGATTACATAAAACATTACTATACAAAGACCTTCATATTTCTTAATAATCAAATATGATAATGACTTCCATTTCTGTCATTGGCTATTTTTGTTTCTGACTGCAACCTCTGCTTCTGGACTGAAAAATGATTCCTTAATGTTAGGTATTTTCAAGTGCAACGGAATTCCAGTTAAGACACATTTTAAGATGCAAAAAATTATTCAAAAACATCTCTAATATTCATTTTCAAAATAATCCTTCATTTACACCCACAAGGAAATCTGATTCACCTTGCCACCAGGGTGTACTTGTCACAAAATCTCTGCCCAAAGTTACTATCCTGCAATGATGGCAGAGACGGTGAAGTGAGTGCTCCTTATCCCTCCCAGTTAAGGCTATGAAGATCAGCAAAGACCTGCTTTCCATATTGTTTTAGTTAAAATGTCATACTCAGACTGAAACCAACTTAGGAAACACTAACAGGCTGCTCTGCCAGCCAACCTTATGGGCAGGGGAAAAGTGAATAGTGGCTTGGGGCAGCACAGTAATTTGCTGAGTGCATGCCTGAAAGTAGGTAATTCTCTCACTTTTCACTCTCCAGGAATGTGTAATTTGTTCCATCCCTATGAATCTCTCATCTCTAAGTGAGATACAGTCAATGGTTTGACTGTATTTACATATATGTGTGTGTAGATAGATAGATAGATAGATAGATAAACATTCAATTCAACTGGTGAAGAGTTTGCAACAATTCTATTTGCTAGATTTAATAATAACTTTCTCTAAAAGAATAAGACTGTCTACAGAGTTTGGTAATTCAGCTAAAAAAATTACTTGAAGTCACACGACTATCTTTTGTAAAAAATCTGTGACCACCTTCACTGAGGAGTGCATACAGACCTGGYTCAAAAATTTATTTTTGAGAAAAGAAGTACCTCCTAAATGTGTAATTCCATCCCAAAATTTTGAAGAGTTGTTGATGGCCATCTGAATTAGGGATCACAGCAGTTAGAAAATATTACCTTGCTCACATCTGGTGACAACCAGTTCCAACATTTTAAAGAATAGCTGAAAACTATCTCAAAATATTTATCAACAGCTCTTTTCTAAAAATGTAATGGCTCTTATAACAAATCAGTTGTGAAGTACATTGCAAGAGCTGACAAAACCCATTCAACTTCCTTGTAAAAGAAAGAAAAAAACAGTTTACAGTTCTCTTCCTCYTCATCATCCTCTTCATCATCGTCTTCATCATCCTCCTCATCACTGAGGTTTATAATCAGTGGAGGGTGAATTGGTACCAAAACATTTTCCTGGTTTCTGAGTGAGTCTTGACGATGGGCTGGATGCAGAATGCCTCCTTGGACATCCTGTTTCAATGGGACATCTGCAGACAGGAACATTGGATTTACTTTATTAAGGGAAAACTAGAGTATGAAATTCAGGTTCACACCAGSAGGCATACTTCTGAAATCATGATCAGGATTAGGCATTATCTTGTGCAAAAGTTGGAGAGAAGGCACCTTGTTACTCCAGGAAGTACAAAAAATGCAGGTACTAGCTCCTGTGAATGGACACGAGCCACTGTTGAATACAGACTTCTGAAAAGAGGAACATTTTCATCACTGCACTATTTAAAATGTAGGCATGCTGTATTCACTTCCTACAGCATTCATTTTGAAGAATTTATCAGTGTTAAGCACAAGATTGCTTATTTTAAATTCCATAATTTTTTAATATCAAATTGAATCTCAACTCTCTTTACTAGATACAAAATGTAGATTTTGTGAAAGAATGTGAAGTTCACGAAAACAATCTACGCTTAATCAGAAAAAAATTGGAAAATAGATTAGTTTCCTTAGGGTTTATAGTCACACATAATATTTCCAGCTAAATGGGTTTAGTACTAGGATAACATATTTCAAGATCCAGGAAATGCAAACGACTGAAAAGAAAAAATGATGAAAAATGGTGAGTCTATGGTATTGTTCAAGCTGACTGATTTGCAGCCATATTATATTTAAAATATTGAAGTTTGATATATTTTCCAGTCTAAAAGGAAGCATGGGCTTTTTCTATTATTCCAGTTGGTTCTATTCTTGTGMAGGTCTTGCTTGCCTATGAGCAGCATGTATATCGTATTAAACCCTTTCTGGTAACATGATGGCAGATCAGATTTGTTATATCTCATGTAAGAGATGTGTAAGRTACAACATTCTAACTTAATAGAACCTTTTTCACTGTCCAAAACAGACTACTTTTAGCTCCAGGTAGAGTAAGCAAAAACAAACTGGAATTAGTTTAACAAGGTTTTTAGGCACTAGAACAAAAAACAGCAAGTTTAGTATTTGCAATGACACAGTGGAGCACACAGACTTTGAATTTGTACATATTGCAGTAAAAAGTAAAAGGGTTTRGTCTATTTTCTAGTTGTGATTTCAGCTTTTGATTTCTCTTAAATTGTTACCTGCATACTAATCATTTGAATTACTAGAGGGATTAAATCTATCAAAAATTTAAGCAGTATCTTTATTCCATGGATCTCAGAAACCTAAATGTGACTTCATCTTTTATACCACTAAAAAGTATGATGTTTCATAACATGACAGCTAAAATAATTCATGTGGCAATCTGATTCAAATCCCTTTCATTCCCTTGAATTTGCTAGGATAGCAGACCACACTTGATTGATTCGCTATGGTCCATTTCTTGACCCTATTATATATGTTGCATATGCACTGGAAGCATATTTTTGTCTATTTTGTTACTCTAATGAATAAAGTTGATAAAATATTTTTACTCACTGTTACTAGGTGGCAAATAAAGTCCATTTATGTTACGAGGTTTTCTGTGAAAGAAGTCACAGCTTATCCTCCTACAGCCTACGGGCTCTGTCTCCCAGAAACAGGAGAACTTGCTGTAGTTTTGCTGCAGGAGAAAACAGTTTTCAGGTGTTGTAAGTGCAGCAATCAAAACTGAATAAATGGATTAGTACATGCTGTGGGAGCATAGGATCAAATATATGACAGTTCACACTGTTGTAAACATATGACCACGATTTTGTAGGACCACATTCTTATTTCAAATTATCTTGAACTTTATCAAAGGCCCTAGATAGCTCTAAAGTTATCAAGTTAGGTCAATGGCATTTGTTGCTGTAAAATTGTTTCTATATTAGAATAGTCTGCTTAGTTTACTGCAGACTTTTAATGAGATGCTGTGAAGAAAAAAATCATAAAGTCACTTAACTGACATGGATGAGATTACTTTTCTGAAAAATGGGAAAATCAGATTAATCTCCAGTGAAATGTGCTTCACAAATGCAAATTTTATACTAGTACTGCCTTATTCTTAAAGGACATGGATCTATGAGGAAACATTGGGTAAGAAATAAAACCCAGAAACAAAAACTGAAAAAATAGGGACATTATGTTGAGACTGCTGCTATTACACTGTTTACACCATCTTTCACGTTTTTAAAGATGACAAACAAAAACCTAATAGAAATGGGAATGATCGTCTACATGGATTTTTTTAAATTATCTTTTCTTTATTCTTTCATGTACTCTTACTGCTGCTCTCCCTCTATTGATCAATGAGACACCAGCTAGTCTACACAATATGGCAGAGATAGTACTTCTATAACACAAGTCACTTCTTTTAGTCATATATAAAATTATTGTTCTGCATCTRTCTCATCAGAGTTTGTAGCTTTTAGCGTCATTTTTGATAATGCAATTCACTTATCCTTATAACCTGAGCTATCTTCCTTAAACATATGATAAACTTGTAATTCTAAAGAGGCAAGTGCTCACAAGCTTTACTCTAAATATGTAAACTCMGATTTATATACCAGGTGTGAATGGCATCCCACTGAGAACTGTAAAATCCAGGTTGGGGTTATTTCTGAATGAGTTTCTGAGTATTTTTTTTTTAATTAAAACAAGGCCATACTCGAAAATACTGGAATATYTGGAGGCATATTTCTCCCAGTTCCAGACATTAACAGCTAGGTCTAGCAGCAGCATCTCCAAAAACTTTTGGAGTTTAGTCAGTACAACTGGGTCACCCCATGAGATACAAAGCCCATCTCACAGGCTTTAACACCTAACTCCCCAGCTCTTAAAAATGGATGCAATAACCAAAAGCCCTACACCCATCCCTGGATTTTTACCAGGTGGAATATAAGTACTTCTCTGAATTAAAGCCATCAGCAGTCAGGCAAAAATCATCATCTTATCCTGAAAGCAGTTTTCTTCCAAATACTGGACCTTCAGGTGAAACGAAACTCAAATGGATAGTGTAGTTAAAACAAAAGATAGCTGAATGTAGTATGTGGTACCTTCTCCATGTGGTTGAACTGTTGAACTGAACTGAGAGCAGTTGTTAGCCAGGGTGGAATGTTACACTTTAACAGTTGCCAACTGCTCCTCCAGCTTGGGACATCAGCATGATGCTGCTACATGTCCTATCCAGGCTGAACATCTTCCTTTCTTTCTATTGCATCCAAGTGAAATATAGAACATCAGACTGTTTTAAAGAGTTGCCCATTCTGGTGCCTTTTTAATGTGAAATGGAACAAACCCATATAGTCAAGCTTAAATAATACCCAACTTSTTGCTGATGAAACTGTCCTCTTAAAAAACAGATCTTTGATACCAAAAAGGTACCATAGTCTGCTGGGCAACAACAGTCAGAGGGGGCAATGAGAATATACATGAGAGAACCCTCCGACGCCAAAGTCAGGGAAGGAAGAGAGGGAAAAGATGGTCCAGACGCTGGGGTAAAGAGTGTCTCCTGCAGCCCGTGGTGAAGGCCATGGTGAGGCAGCTATGTCCCTGCAGTCCATGAAGATCCACGCTGCAGCAGAAATGCACCTGCAGCCGGGGGAAGCCCCACGCCAGAACAAGTGGATGCACCCAAAGGACGCTGTGACCCCATAAGAAGCCTGCGCTGGAGCAAATTCCTGACAGGACTCCAGACCCAGGAGTCTATAGAAGTCCACTCTCGCAGGAGCCGGCGCTGAAAAAGGCGCAGCTGCCCCCGGGTCCCGGTGGGCCGGGCCGGGCCGGGCCGGGCCGAGCGGAGCCCCCGCGCTGATGGGCCCGATGGCGGGAAGGAGGAGGCGCAGCAGCAGCGCCCCCGGCGGCGGCCGAGGCGGACTACATTTCCCGTGGTGCAGCGCGGGCGGGCCGGCGCAGACGCGGCGGTGGCGGGCGCGGGCGGCCGGGGCCATGAGGCGGCGGGGCGCGGTACAGCGCAAGGTGCCGTGTCTGTTCGTCACCGAGGTGAAGGACGAGCCGTCGGCCAAGCGGGAGCGACAGGTGGCCGGGGCGGCACCGGGACGCGCGGACGGGTGATGGGCGCCAGGCAGGTGGGGCTGGGCCCGTGCCCGAGCCYAGGGGAAATCGCTGGGCCGCAGGTTGCAACAGCACAGACCATGTCAGAGCCCCCGGCCACACCCTCGTGGCCAGAAGTTCCGCTGAAATTTTAAAATACTTAATCTAGCGAGTTCAGGGAGACTCACGGGAGAGGTTGGCCTAGGATTGTCCCCATGCAATGCAGGGAAGAAGGGCCGTCTGAGTGCCGTGTCAGCTCAGCCCCACGCTTTTCCTGGCAAGTGCATACAGGTGTTCGCCCTGATGCTGTGTTTGCTTTTTCTAAGTGAAGGCCACTCCAGCATGACGCATCCAGCCTCTGTAAAATCCCCCTGCCATTCCTACCTGTGAGCCTCGTAGGAAGAAAAAATACTTTATCTCACTTTTGAGTTTGGTTTTTTCCCCTCTTGTTGTTTTCTTTTTGGAGTTATGACAGAAGAATTCATTTGAGGCTGTGAGATGTGAACAGATTGGGGTGGCACTCACCTGTCTAGCTGCAGACCGACTCCCAGCTTGTGTTTCCTGGTTTTAGTAGCAGCTGCATAGTGAACTTGAATCCAACTCTGGGTGACTTTCTCCCATTGGTGATTGGCTTCTGGATGAAAGAGCTGAATGGTTTCCAGTTGTTCAGTTCAGAATGAAACCATCTCAATAATGGTCATGTAAGGGTACATCCCTACATTGTTGTTCCTATGTACAGAAAAGGCTATTAGATCTGGAACTGGCACATGCAGGGTTTTTTAATTTGTTTGTGGGGGTTTTTTTTCGTTGTTGTTGCTTTGGTTTGGTTTTTGTTTTCTTTGTTAAAGTTTAGGCAAGGATAAAACAGGATTGTGATTGTTAGGGAAGAAAGAGGATGGTAGTGATGGTGAAACTGATGGGAATGTTTTCTCACTACCCTGAAATTTTTCTTTTTCATGTAATCTTCATACCTGTTGTTTGTGATGGTTACAAATCCTATAATATAAAACGTCTTGTAGTGTAACAAGGGTTCTCATTTTATGAATTCCATGTTCTGTTTCAAGACTTCTGCAAGAGAAGTCTTGCTTTGTGTTCTGCTAGCAGAGRCAGTCCAGATTAAAAGACAAAATTGGCTGGGAAGAGGGAGGTACGATGATTACAGAGTAAAAGATTTGAATCCAAACACAACAATGAAACTCTTAGAGAAGCTGTGTAGAAGAAATCTGTACTAGTTGGCTATTTGTTCCAGATCCACAGATAATGTATTTCTTTGCTCTTTTGAAGCACAAGAGTGTTTAGCTAACAATACTGTTAAGTATTTAACACCAGGATGCTTTTGCCACCACCCCTGGTCTGTATATTGCACTAACATGAYGGTATTGACTTTCAGCTCCAAGCTGAAAGCTGGGGAGTACTTGTCAGGAGGAATTCCTACTGCCACCCTAATGCAGGAGGGCATTTTTCAAGCTACTGTGGTGTTGGACTGGAGCCCTGCTAGCTTAAATGCCCTTTTTAAAGTGGAAAGCAAAGTCATCTCTAAATAGTAATCAAGAATGGGAGAGGGAGAGAATTTACAAACAGATTACCCAGTTTCTTCTAAGAGTACTTCGCAAGCTATAAAGTTTTGAAGAAACAAGTGTGCATTGTAATGGTATTAGAAATCAGCTCTATAATACATATTATTTAAAGAGTTGGCTTTATAGAGGCCAGCTGTAAGGAGCAAGAATCTGTATGAGAGCAAGGCAGTAACACAGCCACTTGTCTTCTTTTCAGCCATTTAAAGTTTTGGCAACTGACACCATAACTGGAAAGGCATTAGAGGCAGATGTACACAATGCAGTTCCTACTGAAAAGGTGGATGGAACCTGCTGTTATGTAACTACGTATAAAGGTAATAAGGAAGATCTATTTGCATATTTCTCATGCCAAGTAGAAGTCATTTTACTTAGTTTTCACTTTTATTGCATGATTTATTTACAGCTGCTGTGAATTCAATTAAGTATCTTGACCACAAAGTAATAGTTACCATAGATTTTAGGTGGTGTTTCTAAACCTGTTCTAGAATTTAATGTGATTATGWACATCTAAGAACTATTCCAGTTTTTAAACTTCCTATTAGAAGTGTTACTTGCAAACTGGCTCATGTATAAGAGAATGTCTAATTTCCTTGGGGAATATCAATAGAAGTACAGAGGTTGGGAGGAAATGAGAAGACTGCATTGACTCACTAGGGTTCATGCCTTCACCTAAAATTGTAAGAAACTCTRTATTACACTAAGCAAGTATATAGAATCTAAAATAGATTTGGAAATTCATATWGTGTAATTTGAATTTAAATAGTGGCTTTGCTTATAAAATTTCTCTAGTAGCAAATGAGAATTCATATCTTGCTGTTATGTAGTTGATTTCAGTATTCTGCAGGGTATGGTTACCTCAGTAAAGTGCTGGTTTTATATCTGGATATTCCTAGGACAACCCTACCTATGGGCCAGGTTGGATCGAAAACCCACCAAACAAGGTGCAAAAAGGTTTAAACGATTCTTGTATTCATTGGAAGCTTGCAAAGGTTAGTGAAGAATTCTTTCCTTCTTTTTGGCAAYGGAAGTTATCCAGTTGGAAGATCAGCTAGTCTAACACGGAAAGTATCAGTGATTTTGCTCCAGTTTTTTTTTTAAACGTGGTTCTTTCCATTAAACTGGAATGTGTAGCTATTTTTTTAATCTTAATTTTTGGACTTTCAATCTACTTAAAGTCTAAATGCTTCTTTAAACCGACCTAATTGTAGACCACTTGAATGYGACCTCTGTTGGTGCTTGTACAAAGTGACTGGGACTACTGTCTGTAAAACAACGTTTACATCAATGGTATTTTGGTATTTGCATTAGAGCATATAAAACAAAGTTAGTTAACAGTTTACCAAAAACTAAATATTGTGTTTATATGTCTAGAATTTGTTTGGAATATTGAAGAGGATTTCAAGCCTGTTCCAGATACCTGGATTCCAGCAAAGGACATAGAATTCTGTAATGGCAATCCTTTGCCCGATGAAAATGGACATATGCCAGGTACCTATGATGCAGCACGGGTAAAACTGGGGAAAGATGTGTGTGAATTTTTGAAATGAATTAGAATTAGTTCCAGAATTACAAATAGTAGTTAACGTATTCAGAAAAAAAAATTTGAATRTCATTCATTCACTATCCAGAAAGGCTTTGTTCTTCTGACACATAGAAATAACTGCAGTTTGCTGTACAAACTTACAGGCCTTCAGCTTAGRTATAATTGTGACATTTACATTTATCTGAGATACAGTTTTTAGTCTTTTTGTAGTTAACTGTAGGGTTTTTTTCTAATGCAGGTAACAGATTCTAATATGTGTTTAATAACTTCAAATATTTACTTTGGTAAAATGCGGTGTTTTCTCATAGGTTGGGTGCCTGTGGAGAAAAATAGTAAGCAGTATTGCTGGCACTCATCTGTTGTAAATTATGAGGCTGGAATAGCACTGGTCTTGAAACACCATACTGACCCAGGGCTTCTGGAAATCAGTCCTGTGCCATTATCAGAAATTTTAGAACAAACATTGGAGCTTATTGGGACTAATATTAATGCAAATCCATATGGTAAGTTTACATGGTCTGTTAAATACTTTTTTAATTTAGTGGTATTTTTGAGTCAAATATGCATATCCTTTGTGTGAGTTTTTTTTAGAAGTTTTCCAGTAGCAATCTTTTTAGAAAGGAGAGGAAGGGCTGGCTGAAGGAACTCTCACCCAAAAATACTCACCTTAGAAAGCTGAGTTGTCATGGAACTAGTTATGTCTATTCAATCTGAGTTACTGTAAAAATGCATTACTTTAYTCCTTCAGAAAATACTTTAAATGGGAAAGCTGTTTTAAATATTACTATTAAAATAGGAATAGAAACTTTTACAATTGTGTTTTGGTGCCTTCACTTTACTTGCTCTTTTGATGAATTGAAGTAGAAAATTTTATTCAACCTTTTTTTTGGAGCCCCTAACGTTAGTCACAAGTTTCAATTTTTAAATTTTGAAATAGGAGTTTCTTTAAGGAAATGTAATTAAGCCCAAATTTTGGTTGTGGCTTCTTCCTTTAAAGGCCTTATAATGAGAAACAAATTAGGTATGAGAACAAGTGAGTTCCAAYTTCTGTGCTTTGCTGTTAGGATAACTTGAAAGGATGGGTAGCAAAAATAGTCCTACCTGGTCTAAGCATTTTCTCAGTATGTAAAAGAACGGCAGCAAATAGTTGTAATAGCTGTATCCTTAAATAAAGACTTAACATGAAAAGGCAATGCAGTTGTTAACAGCCCAGTTTTAAGTTTTCATGAGAACACATGCCAGATTTTCAGGAACTAAGGTGTTTGTGCCATTGATGGTGATCTGAAGTGTGCAGGATTTAGCTGGTAGCTTTATGGTGCCTGAGGAGGTGACCACAAGGAAAAAGCAGACAACTGTATAAATCTCTGTCATGTTTATTTTATACAAAGGAGGAGTACATTTTAATAAATAATTATAAATTGTGAGGAGAGAGAACTGCATTTGGTGCTTAAAAATATAATTAACTATTCTGTTAAAGACAGGACAGTGTTGTAGTATCTAACAGCAGTTTACAGAGTGCTTTAAAAATATCTGCAATTACAAAAATGAGGAAACACATTAACTAGCAGAAAGGTATTTGTTTCTKTAAACATAGGACTGGGAAGCAAGAAGCACCCTGTACATCTTCTCGTACCACATGGAGCATTTGAAATAAAGAATCCACCTGCTTTGAAGCAAAATGACATACTATCTTGGTTTGAAAGCTGCACTGAGGGTAAAGTTGAAGGAATTGTGTGGCACTGCCATGATGGGTGTTTAATCAAGGTAAGTATATGGATGGACATATGGAAAACACTATAATAATTCATGTGAAGTATTGTATTTGTTTTTTTCTTTTCCAAATTCTTTTCAGTACATGTTCTCCAGCAAAGGAGATGACAGTAGAATTAGTAAAGCCACTGAATCACTACAGTGACAATATACTGAACTTTCCATTCCCAACATGCCAATAAAGTAACTGAGAACAGATTTCCTTGCCTCYCTGTATAGGAATCATTAGTTTTAGACTTAATTCTTTTATTTAAAAATGAAGTTCTTTTAATGTTAACGAACAGAACAAGTATTATTAGTAAGAATGTGACATTTGAWTAATTAGCAAGTTTGTATTATTTCTGAAACGGTGGAGGATTCTGTGGTTCTGGTTTGCCTTTTGTGCTTTGTTGTTGTTCATGTTATACAGAAAACTGATTAATGGTTTTTAAGTGCTCTAATGCATAGAGGATCCTAGAATCCACACCCACACACCTCCCAAGTTGGCAATTGTGTAACTTTATCAAAATGGCTGAACTGATCTTCTTTCCTTTCATTTTAGCTTCATCGTCATCATCTTGGTTTACCTTGGCCACTTGCAGAGACCTACCTGAATTCTCAGCCTGTTGTAATTTCTTTTAATAGAACTAAATATGACTATGACTTTGAACCAAAGAGTTTGTTTCACCATTTTTCAGAGTTGGATGGACAAAGATTTGACAGACTAAAAGACATCAAGTTTGATGCTTGAAATGATTATTTTTCTTTTAAGTTAATTGTTGTATGTGTTGCATTCCTCTTACTTGTGTCTACTACAGAATTCTTCTTCATGAATAATCTTCTATCTTAGGCAACAGCCCAAGTAGTATGTAATTTTAAGTTTATACTTAATGACTAATTTTAAATAACAGATCTGACAGCTCGAGCAGAGATCTAGTTTCCAGCATGTTTATTTTCTGAAAACTTCTTAACTTTTGAACCCATTACTGGAAACTGTTAGCATTAAGTGYAGGAAGTGTGTTGTCTAACACTGGCTGGTCCTCAGATCTTTACTAATGAATGCAATCAACTGGAAAATTTACACAGGTTGAACTTCTACAAATGTGTAATTATTATGATCTACTATGTGTAGGTTTGAGATGTAGCATAAAGTTTCTTAACAGTAAAAGGACATATTTCAGGTGGGACCAGAACTAGTCCTAAACTTTGACTCTTTAAGTTGTAACAGTTTCTTGCGGGGGGAAAACTTCCTGGTATAATTTACCTGTTTATCTGCAACCTGATACCATTTAATACCCCAACTAACATATATCCTACAGGCATTTGCACTATTTTGGGGCAAAAAGAGTTAATAATAGAGAACATACTAGTTTTATTTTGGAGATCCTAGTAAGTGGAGAGAGRCAGGACTTGGCTTAATAATTTCCATTTACAACAGCATCTCTGTTAGGAAATTTCATCAAGGGCATATTAAATAATAGAAGGTGTATAAATAATAAAGTTGAAATTGATCATTTGAGTTGTCTCTATTTTATATAGCTAGATGTATACTTTTATAGTAGAGATTATTCATTTTATTTAATCAATTATGTACAAGAATAGCAGTCGTTTGGCTGCAATACTATAGCTTCCGTTTTAGTTTTTATCTTGGATAACCAGGGATGTAAGAACAGACATCCAGAACACTGACCCCRAGTTCAGGATTAAACACTATGGTCACACAAGACAATAAGCAAATTCTTACTCATCTGGGCCTTAGTATGCTGACAGTTTAAAAGATAATTAACTTTTAGGATAAGCCCAAGGTTTCAACTTACCTGACACCTTATTACCCAAATTAACTGTTCTGAATATACTATTAAAATATATTATTGCTCTGACAGGTAGAGGAGAGGTAAAATTCATTTTATTTTGACTGTTGTATATAAATACTGACCATAAACTGTTCAACGATCCTGATTCTGCACTCCTARGTCTGTGCAAACTAACATAGCTTTAAGAAACTTGTATAATTACAAGATAAACACAGAAAATTTTAGTTTTTGTTTCAATTATGAGGATWTTGAACACTAACCTAATCAACAGAAATGTTGCCTGCACTATCCTGAATGCCAAACTCTTCATAAAGCTGCTTCAATCTCTCTTCTAAGATAATATTTTTTTTTACTTCTTCATTGTAGTTGTATTTTAGATCCTCAAGTTCTTCAAAAAAGGAAGGGTTATAGGTTTCTAGTTCTCTTCTCAGCTCTTTTGTCTCTTCCTGTTGGAAAGAATGAAAGAGTACGACCTTTATCCAGAACTTTGTTAATACGACACAACACCTTTTTTGCTTTTTTCTTGAGAGGTTATGTGGTAAGAGATTAAGGATGTTGTCTAGAGGAAAAAAACTTTACCCATAAATAACACCTAAAAACAAAATAGGTTTTGTAAACAATGTTTAGAAATTGACTGTGTCATTAATTATTAATTTAGATATTAAAGGGCTCTTTCTAGCTAACTATAGTTTTGCTCATTTTGATCATCCTGCAGCTCACCTTTAATTGMTGTTTTTCGAGCTCTGAAGCTTCCAGCTGTGACTGGAGGTCAGCCATTTCTGTCATTAGCTTGTCAATTTTATCTTTCTCTACAATTTCATTATGTCCTGAAAAAAATAATGATTTTTTWAATGAAGTTTTAAATTGTGAAAACCCAAGGCACAAATAATCTTGTTTCAATAATTCTGGATGTCCTTAAAGCTGAAACAGTTTAAGTGTAGAAATCCAATGGGGATCACCAAACATTCAAGTCACGTGGCCTTTCCTTAGTTCTTGTACAAATTAAGCAGTGCTGTCCAGTTCTGTGACTGAATGCAGGAGCCCAGTAGCCAGTCTGTTAGCACACCTTTGAGAAGTACAACATGGACAGTTCCTCTAAATTAAATGCAGGAAGTTTGGAAATAACATAAGGATCTTGTGTTGCATGCATTCATAATTTCAAGAGGGTTAGTTTGTTTTTTCTTCCAGTCCTATGGCAATGTGTTGCTCTGTAGTGCTCTGCTTTTCCCAAGGGACTGATGCCTGCTAGGTCTTAAATCATTCACAGAGCTGGTAACTGGAAATAGACACTCACTCTCTAGCAGTTCAGAACCCAAAGCAAAAGGTCTAGGAAAGAGGATTTCAACGAATGACTGACATCTTACACAGTCTTTTGAGGTTAAAATGCAAATGGGGCAGAAACTACACACGTTCTTGTGAGGGGAAAAATCAKACAAAGTTTACAGCCTCTTGCTCATAATTGGTTAGAGAGATTTTCATTAAAAATTCTCTATAAAAATCTTGTATATGTACTAAAAAATCCAAGACCTTAATCTGCTCCAGTTAACACTACTTTGGCGTCAATCTGTTTCAAGTACTGCTTCAGATTTATTATCACTTTGCACACACATATTAAGTTAAAATAGTTTTCGACCCTAAATATAGGAAGATCTTTATTTTAGGTATTGAAAATTATTACTAGCTGCAGGACCTTCACTTCCATCCTCCATCTGGTGCACTAGTTCGGCTTTTTCTTTCTCTAACTGACTGTTAGTTAACCTGGAATATAAAAAGAAATAATTAAAAAAAATTAAAATCTTTAACTAAAAATTGCAGTGGCCATTTCCTGGTCATTCTTATTTCATGTATATTGGCTGAGGTATTTATTTAGTTATTTAGACGTATATTACCTTAAAAGCTGAAGCTCCTTGATTAGGTTTTGCTCTGTCCCTGTACCTTCAGGAAGATGTTTGAGAAGCTCAATCTTAAAAGAAAAATTAAGGAAGTTTTATTCTTGAAAACAGTATCCATGGCAATGCAGTTCAGATAGAGTTCTCTTGGATACAAGATTAAAAAATGAATGAAAAGTAATACTAAGGATGTAACCAAAWATTAGGCTATCAGAAGAAAAATAAGTGTTCATGTGGAGTTTGCAGGCCCAAAGCTAATTTTTGACAGCCTTTTTAAAGTTAGTAAAGATCACTGATTGCTATGTATTTCATGAAGGGTGAAGAAAGAAGTATTTAGAAGTTAGATTTACAAAGAAAGTTGGATACGTAGCTACATCTACATAAAGTATATATATGCTTAAGGAACTGATATGCCTAAATAATTTAAATGCATAAAAATAATTATTGATGTTTACATACCTGGGTGTCCAAGTTCATTTTGAAAGATAGTACGAAAAAAACGTGATTTTGCAATGATAACCCAAATGAGGATACACTGACTAGGRCTGACCTGCAGTTGTTAAGTTAGAAGAGGTCCCTGACCAGTGAGGGTGGGAGCCTCTGAAAGAGCCACCTGGTGAAGATGCAGGAGCAAATGTAGTGGTTTAAAAATGTGATTATATACAGGTAATGWATGCAGTGACAATTCATGAACTCACATGAAGCTATTGGCAATTATAAGTTTTTGTTCTCCTACTAGCTAAAGTGGTAAGGATTTGGATTATTTTTTTAAAACAATGAAAGAAACTGGAARCTGATGCTCCAGAGTAATATGACATAATGAAAGAATTTTATCTCTGTTAAATTTGCAGCTGGTATATACTTCATGTTAATAACACTGATGCTAGAAAAGGAAAAACTACTAATTTTTTTACAAGAATCAATTCCAAGTTCTATTTATTGAACACACATACATATGACTTTGCAAATTGAAAGTTTGGTATTTGATATGTTACTCTGAGAAGGGCCAGTACAAGATGTCTGGGGAAGAAAACCATCCACATATAAATAAATGAGAAGATGGAAGCTGATGTAGTTCTAAAACTCACCTCTGTACTTAAAGCTGAAATGTGATACATCTTTGCAAAGGTGCCTCTGTTTAAAATTCATCAGTTCTTTCACAAGTAAAATAGTATTTGTAARACTGTTAGAGACTGCATGTAAGAGGCCAAATTGGAAACAGAAATGGAGATCCTATTTAGGATGGCAAACTCAATACTCTTCCACCCCCCAAAAAAATCAAACTGGAGGGAATAGGGAAGTCTCTGTAGCAAACATGCTCTGCAGAACAAGTTGGGAATATTTTAAGACTTTTTGAAGCATCTGTACCTAYAGACATTCATGTGATCACTGAAGCTATAATAAAAAAGCCCTACAGAAGGACACAGTAGAAAATAATAGTTTTCCTCTATGACTGCAAGTCRAGCCTATATGTTGATAATGTGGTAAACCTCATTAACTGGCTAAATACAGCAACTATGACTAAAAAAAAACCTATTAAGGAATGGATTAGAGAAAAAAACAAGTACTCTGCCACCACAGACATTACAAAGTCATAAATTAAGCATTCTGGCTTAGAGTTACCTGGCTAAATTTTACTCACTTGTTCTTTTAGATATTGTAAATTTTTATCAGTGTTGTGTTCACGTTCTGTTGCTTCCTGAAGCAGCCGTTTAAGGTTAGCAATGCTTTGGGTTTTTTTAGCAATATCCATTTCCATTTCCTTCAATTTAGCTTCCTGCATTCTGGCAGTATTTAGAGAAAGATAAGAGCAAAAGTTAATACTACTGCAGAAATAGAATAAATGCTGTAAAATATACCCTAAAATATGTTTGGGGTATTGGCTTTGAAATAATCAATGGCCTTGTAAATACAGTTTGCTGAAAGAAGCATAGTGAGATTCTAAGGCTTTTCTAGATATTACACTTCTGTGGATCYTCTTTTTGTATCTACACTGTATTAAAGGGAGACAGGAATCAGGAATCTTTTTATGCTATTGCACGTAAACCCCAAACTACCTGCTGCTAAAAGGATGCATGTTACCAGTGCAGTATGTACACCAGTTGGATCTTCAGTGTTACACCTCTGAAAGTGTTTTTCTACTGATTTTATATTTTATGGAAAATAATGTACTGAGGAAAAGACTAATACAGATGCAAAAGATGAAGACTACAAGGCCAAAACTGTTCTGCAATAAATTGTTTACCCTGGAGGAACAGCAGTGTGAGGAAGATTCCATTTTGCTTTGAGCTGTACAAGGCTACAAAAAGGTTTGTGTAGAATCTGAAACGTTGGAAGGTACCTCTGGAGATAAGTAGCTCAGTCTCCCATCTGAATCCATCTGGATTTTCAGATAGCAATACAATGTCCGACATCTTGCTACCTGCCAAAGAGTCTTCTGATGGGTTCACTGGGATGACACCTCTTTGTCTGCCCTATCAAACACTTTCTGTTACCACATACATGTTTTGGTAGATGTGCTGGTGAGGTGGATTGCATGTTAAAGTTCCCYAAGCAGCTCCTCTAGCTTGGTAAGATCTTTATGTTATTAATTTCCTTCAAATTCATGTTAAAGTAAATGCAAATAGAAGGCTTTATTCACATGAATTGTAATAGCAAGTACAATTAAATGTGACAATGTATTTTGTATCTATCTATCCACAACTACATACTTCTATCAACTAGAACCAAGTAGAAATGTTTTTCAAAAGAAGTGAAGAATGAAGATAATAAATACATGAAAACTGCTGAGCTGATACACCAGAGGTTAAGGGCCTACCATCCTCACTCATAKGCATGCTCATATCCTCTTTCTCCTGTGGCCATCAGCCACTTTTGTCCTGCAGTCAGTTTTGCCCTCCTTCCTTATACAAGTTATGGTTGTTATCTGGCCTTATATAGAGACATCTTACCTCACTGGATAGTTATCGGGAAAGTTAAAAAAAAAATCAAATGGCTTTTTGAAGTCTCAGTGAAGTGAAATGGCTCAGCAATATGTCAGAGAAGCATTAGACCCCCCTCAAGGGATCCTGTGAGAATACAAGACTGGGAAGGGGATGAAATCTTGGCCATCAATAGTGATCTGACTTAGGATGTCTCCTGCTGATTTTCTGCCCTAGTAAATTTCCTGTCAGAGGTTCTGATTTTGTAGATATGTTCCATCTCTGTTTACCACTATTAAAGAGTACTTTTGCAACTCTTCATCATATTTCACCCAGGAGTCTGGGACTAAGTATTTCATACCAAAAATTTGCACTCTCCCATCCTTATGCAGGACACAGGTTGTTTATTTCTCCTAACAGCATAAGCATTCCTTAATTTTTCTGTTCTATTACATTCTCAATTCCTACCTTGTTACAATGGACTTCCAGCTTCTGCTGTCTGCTCCATCAAGTTGGTTCTCAGCCAAATTTAGCTTCTTAATGGTTTCCTCCAGCTGCACATTTAACTTCTCATTTAATATCTCCAAGTTACTCTTCTCTATTCGCAGCTTCTCTCCATTGTCAGCTTCCTATTTGTTCAACAAAAGCAAAGGTTTATGTAATACTTAACCTCACATGAAACACAATTTTATCTCAAATGGTGGTGAGATTGGTTCAGTGCTGATAGAGAGGAAAATGCATCCAATATTACTAGCACTGCAACTCCTAAATTTAGTCTTGGGCTAGTCCTTGGATATCTCCTCTCCACAGACAATGAAAACAATCTGTCATAGCAATATCAGTGCTGAATCAATGATTTAAAAAAAAAAACCCAAATACTTACCATAACCTGTACCTAATGGAAATAAACAGATACAATGCAATGATCATACCTTTCTCAGCTCTTTACGCAATCTCTCGTTTTCAGTAATGAGTTTTTCCAGTCCTTTGGTTTTCGATTCATAATGCATACTCAGCTGGCCTTTCAGATCAAGTTTCGTTTTTTCCATTTCAGACTAAATAGCAAACAATTTGTTAAAACATATTTACATTGCTTAGTAGAAGATTTCAGATTTCAGCCACTTAACACAGTGAACATAACAGTTCATCACATAGTTAAATATATCCTTAAGGTACAAAATACCTTAAATCATGCAGTATGTTACGCTGAAATGAAGTTTTGCCTTTCTRTTCTGTATATTTCATATCTGGCATTTTTAAAACAGATTTGTGCCAATCAGTATCAACAGGCTTGCTGCTACATTTTGTTAATAACTTGCACATAAACAGTTATCTAAATATAGTTACTGGAGATGAGTCTCTACCTTTAGCCTCTCATTTTCCTGCTCAAGACCAAGTAATTTCTCATTAGAAACCACAGCTGGGGCTTTTTTCAGCTCTTCATTTTCTCTCTGGACTCTCTCTACAACCTTTTTCATCAAGCCAATTGTTTTTTCCAATTCTGGGACTGTCTTTCCACTTCTACCAGCCTACAGAAAGGAGGGRAAAGAAAAAGTAAAAGTAAGCAAATAGTTTATCTCAATATTCTGAGATACTCCAAATCTTACTTTWTTGCTTGTTTTCCCATTGCAATTCATATTTATTAAAAAAAAAATATTTTGGCATAACTCGAACTGCAGAATTTCTTGCATACTTACCTCTCCAAAACATCTAATGATATATTCACCCCCCAAGTCAACAAATCAACTCCTTCATTTTCTATGTTACCCAAAAAACCTGCAGTTAAGTCTCAAAATCTGCTGTATTTTATGAACTTAACTGAAACATCAGGAAAATAAATCAAAGAAATACTTAATTTATTTTGCTTTTCTTGTAGAAAAAATCCCCAATCCTACAGACCATGCAATTGCTTAAATGCTAATACTGTTGGAGGCATGGGGGAAAATGGCTGGGAAGAAAAGAGGGCCCTTTTATAGCAACCCTTCTTCTGCTGAATTAAAGTGACAGAACGACATTTTAAAGCATAGGTAGATCTCCCTTTCCAAAGGCATATATTCTTGCAGAATGATAAATTAATAAATGTTGGGAGAAATATGTTAATTTCTCTATTTTTCTTCTTTCACTACATTACTTAATGAGTTAGAAAATCTGTTGGAGAGTCTTGAAATCTATTTATTTTCTCATCATCTTTGTAGCAATTTCTTCAGCAATCGTAATTTAAATATGMTGCTGATTCTAGTTCTGGGACCATAAAGTACCTCCTTTTCTTTCCACAGAAGTAAGGAGCAAAGCAAGTGGAAAATGGGAGGATTGTACTCCCTGGATTTCTACATAACTGTATACAGCGACCAAATTRCAGAAGTAAAAATTACTTATTTCTGTAAAATAACTGGAGGGATTAAGAAGTTTGTGTTGGTACACAGCAAAGTTAAAGAAAAACCTGTCACATCTTACTGCCTGGGAATGGAGACAGATGCAGAATTTGCTGATTCCTCAGAATCTTTGAATGAAACAGTTTTATAAACTGAATTTCCTTGTCGAAAAACACCATTGTATAAGAGAGATACACAAGTAGTCCATGCAAGGCATGAGTAAAAGAATAAAAAATACATGATCTTTTCCATGTACCCAGAAGCAGAACTCATTCTCCATTGTATACTGAGCTACAAAGAGCTACAAAGGTAYTTAGGAGCTTTTACGAACTCAGCCTTCTTTAGGAGATCACACAAATAGTTTGGTAAGTTAACAGTAAGAGACATGCTGGGCACTGCTGAGTACTTTTTTCGATTTAATTTCTGAAATATTGTTCTATTAAGGTAGTTGACAACAGCTAGGATAGAACTGTGTGTCACCTTGCATAATCCAACAAACAAAAACCTTTGCTAACAGTAACTTACCCTTTCTACACCCGCATCAAATCATTTACATAAATACATGAATATAATTTTCATTATTATGGCTGTAACTGCTGTTTATTGTACAAATATGCTTCTGAAGGTAACTAATTCAAATTACAAAATAAGGCCATGATAGCGCAAATATTTAATAGTGTAGCTCTAGTCCTACTGGTCCTGTTAACTTAATGTAATAATAATTTAACTTATTACAGTATTTTGTCAATCAAATAAACATGAATAATTCCTGTTTGTTTTTGGTTGATTCCAAATAATTTAAATAATACTTTGGCGTTTTTTTCTGTATTTAGTTTTCATTTAATTATGATGGAAAGTGCTGTTAGAATACTCACCCCTCTAAAACTGCCCAGCTTTCGTTCAGCATCTGCTTTCTCTTTTTTGAGAAGTTCACACATTTCTTTTAAGTCATCTACTTGGTCCTACAAGTAAAAAAAAAATGAAAAAAGCAATAAGCAATTTAGATCTCAAATTGAGGTGAACATCTGGTGAAAACATTTCCAATGTTTTACTTGGAAAAATTTAAGACAAAGCAATTTCCCATCTCAAAGACACTTTCCATCATTTTTACCAGCTATTCAACCCTCTCATCTTCAGTAAAAACATGAAAAACTTACAGTATGTACAGAAAAAATATCCACTTCTTTTTAAGTAATTCACTGATCTGTGTCAGRGTAAAGGGGACTAAAATAAAAAGATGTTACCTTTAGTCTTGGCAAATCCTTATTGGCCTGCTCGAGTTGGAATCTTAGCTCAATGTTTTCAGATGACAATCTCAAATTTTCCTTTAAAACTTCTTGTTCTCTTMGATACTGATCACTTGATCCTTTTCCTGATGTCTTGAGAGAACAGAGGGGAAAAAAATATTATTAAATAGTAATGTACTAATTCAATAAAACTATCAACTGTAGCTGATTAAGAGCAACAGAGAATTAGTATTTTTCACAAAAATGAAACATGACAGTATTATTACCAGTTTTGATCTAATCTGCTTTGAATTTAACACCTTCTCTTACATTTCATAAACCTGCTTACCCTTTAAGGAAAGTTTACAAATCAGTATAAACCAGTAAAAACTTTGTCTAACCAAAATTAACTCTAAACTATTCTGTAGAAATAAATCTCAAAGACTAAAAGACAAACAAGCTACTGAATGTAGTAAAATGTGACACTATACCTGGGAACATGATTTAATTTTAAGGACACACTCTGATAGTTTTTTAAGTACAACATAGATTGTAAGAAATTTCATTTATGTCAAATGGATTAGAGAGCAAGTCAGGAAGAGTAATCTAGAACTCTCATTTAATCTGTTAGTTCCCACAATATTAAGCCTTTATCCATGGAGGCTACTAATTTCTACTACACAAAGAGTGCATTGCATACTTTATATTGCCAATTCAAATTATAGCAAGAAAGGTAACTGTTTGACTATTAAAGAGTAAAATGTTTTAATAATATATTTAATAATATAATCAGTAGGTTTTACTTATGTAAATTGGGAATTAACTGTATGATTCATTACTTCATCACTAGTAAGCATAATCATGTATTTGCTTCATTAAACCTTTTTTGTTTTCTTAGTGTAAATAATAACATATCATAAGTCTCTTAAAGAATGAAGGACATCAATTAGCCCCAAAGATACATTGAGCTATTTGCAAACTCTCTGGATCAAAATTTTAGAATTGCCAGTAGCTTACTTGTGAGCTGACATGCATGTATATTATGAAAATATAAGGTTTGCTTTATGGACCACTGGTAAGTACATCAGTATCCCTGCAGAACATGCATAGGAAAGCACTGCTTTATCAAGATAAAACTATTCTATTTCTACATCATTTGTACTGAAGAAATGCTAGAGGGCCACTACAATATCAAACCTCAGGCATTTCACACAATTCTGGGGTAGTTTCAACCCTTTCTGTACAGCTTTGGTCATTTTCCTGTTTATTCTCTGCAGTGTGTTGATTCATTTCATTATTCATATTGATTTTGTCTGCTTCATAGTCATTAGCTTGATTAGGAAGTTCCCCTGAATCAGACTGATTGCAGCTCATTCTGTCAGTATCAGGCTCTTCTACACATCTGTCTTCATCCACATTTGACTGCTTGAATATTTCTTGCTTCCTCTCCCCTTCTTCACATTTCTCATTAACKTTACTGTTTTCAGGCTGGGTTATATTTTCTTCTTTTTCACTGCAGTTCTCTTTACCAGCTTCTGCTATAATTTTGGTTTCCAGTCCTTCCCTAGAAACATCTGTGTCCTTGCATTTCTCGCTGTCTTCAGGATGCTGTTCAGGAGACATTTCTCTGCTTGCATCCGCAGCAGGCTCCTGGCCTTCATTATGYAGGATGCATGTTTGYATGTTTGCATCCTCATCTACTCCATTGCCATCAGTTATACTATTATTAGTCTGATGTTTGATTTCATCCCTATTTGAAATAGATTTCTTGTGAAGGAAATTCAGATACTTTTGTTTACTGACAGTGATAGGAACAGACTTGGTCAGTTCAGTTTGGTCATATGTGCTCTGATTCAAGTTGAAGATAGAGTGAGGCATGAAAGAAAAGCAGAACACAGTAAAAGAAAACAAGAAATAAAGAAAATAGAATGTACTGTTCAGTCTATTCTTGAAAGATTAACTTAATTATGCAAAATCTGCAATAGAATTAACCTTGTAAAAATCAAAGYACAAAAAAACCACCTAATGTAACTGAAATGCAGTTCACTATTTCCCCATCTCTATGCATTCCAATTTTTTAATCAATATATAGTATAAAAGAAATGAGTTGTGGACTCATATGTTTAAAAATGTATTTTCCTTATTTCTCCACATATGTTAGGATGCTGAATACTCCAGCTTCTACTTGCAGGACAGAAAAACTTTAAGGTTTGGGCATTTGGGGCTTTTTTGTTTGTTTCATTGTTTTTTTTTTAAACCACTAAAAGCTGAATATTTAATATCTTGCTGTAGAATACTGTCATTTGAATTAAACCCRCTAAGTGACATAGAATAGCAAACAGAAAACAAGTATTTTTTATAAGTAGTATTCTACATAATAAGGTTACATTATTAAACTTACCAARGGTCTTGAAAATGTCTCTCTTGAACATTGTCTCTGCAGTGCATGAAGCTTTTCCTGAAGGTATTGATTTTTGAAATGTAAGTCTTCTACAGCAGAGTCTCGTGGGAGTGCTTGCAGTGTTCTACATYAGAAAACGAATCAAGCCAAATCAAACAAATGGCTATTAATGCAGAAAAGCATCCTTTAAGGTAAAAACACATGAAATTCTGGGTAAAAACACATGAACTTCTGGATTTTCAAGTGTTTCTAAGCTCATTATTCTAAATCAACATTAGCCATATTTCAACTAATCCCCATGACTGAAAGACACTTGCTTTGGCAAAAAGAAATTTTCAGACRTGTACAGCTTCTATTAGTCAGGTACTTTACCCACTGTGGCAGTGCATACACTGATGGAGAATATTCTTCCTAACTACACTTAGCAGTTCCAGGAAATTTCACCAACTCTAAGCTGCAGTTAAAATTATCTACAATAGGAGCCATATGTTTATCATATCATTTAGCTTTTCAGAATAATGAACCAATGCTGCATATTCTCTGAACATGCACAACTGCTCCTAAACAGTTTTGTTTGTTCATCACACACTCAAAGAAGACATTTTAAAATTCCTCTCTTTTCTTTCCTTCTTTAATTATAGTATGCCTATTAGAGTCTATCTCATTCCACTGTTTTTTTACTAATTTATAGACTTTTTCACTTTTTATAGACTTTTTTTTTAAAGTCTCTCACCTCATGTGTGCAACTTCATTTTCTAACTCTAGATTCCGTTTTCTTAGTTCTTCCACTTCTTTTTCAGTTTCTGTGGCTCTTATTTCAACAACACGATCAACAGTGACACCAGTAGTTTTCAGTTTCTTCTGAAGAGCAATTTTCTCTTTTTCAGTCCTGCAACATCCAGTAAATTTACATTTTAAAGCTTATTTGCTAACTTGCTTTCTTGATGAGAAAGTATTTTCTGTCTTTTCTGTTTAGTAAGGTTACTACTGTACAGACAGTAAAGCTTTACCAAAACCCAATGCAAACCCAAAAAACAATGGATGTTAAGTCAGTATCTTTCACATCATAAACCACTTGTTGATCTTGCCTGTGTTGTATGTGAAATTCAGGCAAGGCTTGCTAATAAATGCTGTTTTGAAGCAGTTTCAAATCACAGTTTAACAACAGCTACAAGCACCATCACACCTTTTATCAGTAAAAATCTGCCATTACTTTACTGAATCCTGCCATTACTTTACTGAAGTAAACATAACATCTACAGAARGCATGGATGTATGGTTGTTTGTTGAAAAGGTTTCCATCTCATAATCCCAGAACAGTCATTACTGCAGTAACATYACATGAAATAGTAGCTAAGTATCCAGTCCTAGCAATCTGGTCAAATAACATCACTGAGAAACAGCCTGTCTCCATAAAGTGGTTAACTGCTTTATGATAATGACAGAAAGCTAAAACAGGAAGCATAATATAGAATTTCAATTAATTCTATTTTGAGTCACTTTCTTGTAATAAAGGTTGTTGGCTTCTACAAGGGAAAGGATGCTAGAGGAGTTAGTAGCCTGTTTCTTGAAAATTAACTAATCCTTTTAGTCTCGACAGCAATGCCAAATTCTCACCATCAGTCTTACTAACATAACAAACTGCAACAATTATTATATGTCAAACATATCTGGATTTCCCTTACATCATCATTTTGTAGCTGAATCAATTTATTCAGTTACAAAGAAATTGAAATACAAAGTGAGTATTCACTCACTTTGTATAAAGTGAGGAAACTCACTTTGTATAAAGTGAGGAAACTCACTTTGTATAAATTTCCTTCAACTCACTTTGTATAAATTTCCTTCAATGTATTCAACTGTTTGGATAAAGCATCTGCTTCTTTTTCCTTTTCCCTTAGTTTGTTCCGCACTCCTTCCATTCTGATTTGCCATTTTTTACCTTCATCCCATCTAATTATTTCCTCCTTGGAGCTCTGTGAAGAACACAAACAGATTATGTATTTCCTCTTGATTTATTTTCTTAAATCAAAGCAAGCAAACATGTTAGAAAACTTAGAATGATACATTCTTCATTTATCAATTTAAACCAGGAGGCCATAGCAGGCATATATTATTTGCCATAGCTAAGTAGCAGGTTCAGCTCGATATACTGCTGTGACTGGCATATAAAGCCAATGCAGCTTAATGCTCCTACAAAATTCTTCCTTAGCTTTTAATTTCATTTTACAAAAAAAAAAGGAGTGAAGCATTTTATGAAATTAGGTCTAGTGCAATGTGTCCTTTTACTCTGAATTACACATTCGACAGATTTAAGAAAAGGTAGGGTTTTTTGTATGGCAATTTACAACAGATCTGTCTTCAGCAACTCACCAGGGACTTGCATGSTCCTGATGCACAGCTTATTTTTCTGCACGAAATGGAGTGTCTACTTAAGAGTTAATAATTCAGTAACTATAACTTACACATTCGTTAAAACTTATAGGGTTTTAACCTTGTTTGTGATTCTATTGGATCACAAATACCTACCGAAAAATCACAGTCAATATTCCTATAGGAAATTTTTATTTTGATTTGGGATTTTATTTGTTTATTTTTAGTTGGAATTTTTCCTTCTCTGGTTATTCCCTGTAMTTCAATTTCTGTCTCTGTTCTAAACAGTTACAGGTATTAAGAGAAGGAATGAAATTAAAATCTTGGAAAACAGAAAAAAATGCTTGCCAACTGGGAGAAAAACACCTCTAGAAACAAAGCAACAGGTATTGAAAATATTTCAAATTAACTGAAATCATAAGTGCAGTTCTAGAATAATATTTAATATCATACATAAATAGTCTGAATGTCATTACACAGGTGTGCTATAATATTCCAGAATACTTTATAATTAATATGAGAAGCCACTAATTAGTTACTGACATAATAACAAGCAAGAAACCAACAAACAACTTATACATTAACACAATTTCAATCGCTCTTATAAGAAACTCTTATATGTGGAGATCACAATTGTAAAGAATAATCATTTATTGAGATATAGTCCTTTTTAGGATTCACTTTTTCTCCTCAGTACTTTGTGTTTTTATTATTGCATTGATTTCACAAAGGCACATTTGGCAGAACTTATGTAACCAGTTTGACAGCTACCTAAAATATCTTTGTTTTCTAAGATCGATAGCATTAAAGATCCATTAGAGAAAGGCAGGAAAACATTAAGATACCAGCACTAAGTAACAAGAGCAGTAACACAGAGCATGAGAAACACGAGAAGTTGCAGCCATGAAACTGCTTTTTTTCTGATCAAGTATGGCTGGTAGGTTTTAGAAGCAATAGGGAGAGTGAACTGCCTTACCCGAAGCTGACAAGGTCTTTCAAAGCAACAATATCAATATCACATACCTTGTGTTCTCTTTCACCTTTTTTTTCTGTTTCTTCACACTTTTTCTCAAGTTCACTTTCCAACTTTTTAATTTTTTTCTGAAGTACATCTATCAGATTTTGTTCATCAGCTTTGCTCTGAAAAATTACAAATTTTTACAAACTTCAAGTTTAGTGACTACTGAGATTCTTTTCTTGAGTCAAAAAATAAGGGTTTTAATTTCCTATTGGTAAAATTAGTTTGGAACCTAAACGATCTTTTAAAAATTAACTTTAACTTACTAATATTGGAATGTAACTTTTCATTCTGAACTGAATAATCAGCAACAAGCAGTTGAATTTTAAAAAATAATTAGATGATTCTTTAGTAAATCCTTTATTTTTCTTCTAAAAAGGGAAATAAGGACAGCCAGGAAGATGACAAAATACCATCTTTCCAAGAAGCTATCAAAGTGGTTATTCAACCCCTCAGACGCTTTCAAACATATTTCAGGAAGCATGTAATTTTTTTTTTTTTAGCTGAAGCACAAAAAAAAGCTAATAGCTTATGTGAAACCCAGCTGATGAGGAAGCAATACATTTTTTAATTAAGTGAAAGATACTTAAATCTTTCACCCACACAAACCAGCACACCTATACAGAAACTTAACCAAGATCAGAGTTTGAAAAGTCAGTTCTACCTGAATGCTACTGCTTAGCCTCCTAATCCGGTTCTTCAGTTCTTCATTTTCTTTTTCCATTTCATTCTTTTCCCTCAATATTTTAGCAAATGCTTTTTCTTTCTTCTGAAGTTCTTGGTTTAACTCATCCCTTTCATTAGACAACGAAGTTTCCTTGTTTTTACTTATTTTAAGGTTATCTGTAAGTTTTGTTATCTGATTATTCAATTCCTCTATCTGTGTCTAGAAGAAAACAAAAAAGCCAGCAATGCCCCCAAATCAAATTGGTCAACAATACAACAAAGCAGCACAATGGTATTACCAAGTACTCACCATAAGTCCTTTGGTTTGTTTGTCAACAATCTCCTGGACATTCATATATGCCTCTTTTTGTGATGCAGCAGAAATAATTTGCTGTTCAGCATAGGCAGCCATTTCTGCTCGGAGTTCTAGAAGTGCTTTACTCAAAGCCTGAAAAGAATTAATTTTTTTTTTTTTTTGCAAGTGAAGATGCTGCTACAAAACAAGAAAAGGCAATTATATTTTACTATGGCATATTATGCAATTATATTGTACCTCCTGCTTAGCTATACAAGGAATTCTTAAGCATTAAGAAACAGTTAATATATAAGTGACATAGAGATTAATTTTTGTTGACTAACTTTTTGCTGGTTCTCTTTTATGGCTAACTGGCTCTTCAGGTGTTCCACCAGGTTTTTCATTGTTGCTGTGGGTGCTCTATTATTTGCTTCTTTTTGGATCTCTAATTCAGCTTTTACATTTGCTAATTCCTTCTCCTTCTGAGATAAATTGTTCCTCAATTCATTTGCTTCTTTTTTCATTTGTTCCACATCAACTGTGTGCTTTTCTTGAAGCCTAATAAAAAATAAGGATTMACAGGGTACAGTGGAAGAATGAAAGTTACCACACTCTAAATAAATCAAAGGACAAATGTTTTAATTTTTATTATTATTAAAGAAAATTACACTTAGATTTGGAAACAGCAAAGAAAGACTGACTAAACAAAGACAGCCTCCATTTTATAAGAGAATCACTCATGAAGGTCAGGAAAATAAGATTAGGGCATTGCTCATCTTCATTCCTGGCCCTTACAGGTAAAGAAAGCATCATACTTTTTTCATTTTAGACATGAGTTAAACTTTCATGAGTTTAAACTTGTTCAGCAGCAAATCCAAATGGATATATGGTGAGGAGAAAAATAACAAAATAATCCAGCAAGTAATACAGTAACTTAAAAACAYCTTTCTTTTTCACTAAATGGCACAAAGCTAACAACCAAAAGGCATTTTTCCAAGCCACAGTTTTTCAGTATTAGCCCCAGTGAAGGGCTACAGATTAAAAATAACTTGCAATTGCCAACTATAGTAATGCTTTTGAAAATTCTTTTTCAGCTAAATCTTAAATTCAGCAAAAACATGTTCAATTTGATAGATCAGTCCTGTAGCACTATTACATAATTGACWGGAACCACTCCAATTGTGACTTATGTTAACAGTCTAAAAACTTACTGGGCTCTGATAGTCTCAAACTCATTGATTTTCATTACAGTAATTTGTTTCTGTTTCTCCAAATCAGATGATGTTTTCTTTAATTTTCCAACAAGTGAAGCAAGAGAATTATCCTGTTCTGCTACAGTTTGCTCTAAGTGTTGAAAATATTCACTGTTGGCCATGGATACAGAAGTCTTTTTTCCTAGCTCCTGTAAAACAAAAGAAATGCAGGAGATAAACATTTTAAGCTTTAAGTAAAAGAAAGATAAGCCTTACTGATGCATTTTTAATTCCATCCTACATATAATCAAGCATTAATAGCTACTATTTATTTACTCAAATGTGATTCTTAGTTCACAGAGAAACCCGTCAAGCTGTTTTGAAAAGAGCTTTGTACATCTAATGATCAACAGAATACAGCTGAATACCTTAATATAAAGTGCAGAGAGAAACTTTGTATTGAAATGGGTTAGCTTAATATAACCATGCACTGAATAAGAAGAATAGAAAACAATATGTAACTCTCTCCCCTAGAAGTTTCCATAAATTGGGACAATATGCAAAATGTTCATATATATGATAAGGTGGTAACTTTGGATTTTTACACTTGGCTTCTAATCCATCTCATGTGACTTCTCTCAAGAACAATACAACCGATGTATATCAATCACCCATTTATTTTTCCTGTCATCAGTTATTACTTGTTTTTGAYTGCAAAACTGTTCTTTTCAGAAACAATGTAAAAAAAATACAGGAACAACTTCATTAATTCCACGAATACACATGACTCACCAAAGCAGTCTCTTTGAATTTATTAAGGGAATTGTCAGTGTACAAATCTAACTTCTGGTATAGAACTCTTATGTCTTCTTCATACTTTTTTGCTATTTCCTCTTGTTCCTGTTAGTTCAAAATAAAACTTAAGTAATGCACACTATCACAAAAAGTCATGAAACTACAATGCCTTCAAACTGTTTATTCAATCACTGCTCAATATTACTCCCCAGATTTCCCTCTAATTCCGGAAGCTTTTAAAAATTCTTTTCTTCTTGCCACGATCCATGATATTTTTTAAGCACTATTGGAAAAAACCCAACTGTTGCAGTTTTAAGCTATGCAGTAAGTAGTATGGTGTAACAACACAGAAGCTGGAACACAAAACAGYTGCTGTTGGTCCTCACAAGCTAGGACTATCAGTATGGACAGTTATACTCATACTAAGTATATTTCAAGTTTATTTACTTTGGACTATAGTGTGATCCCATGATTGAATGCTAGCATACAGAGCACAATAGGCTCATTTTAAGTCTTCATCTTCTGGGKTTTTTTTCCAAATAAAACCTTGATTTATCCAAAAAGAAACAGCTACACATGTTAACCAAAGCACACTAAGTGAAGATGATAGAAAATCTGCTTTGGAAATGTGCTTCTGATCCAAACACACTAAAATCAATGTGTGTTTGGTCTTGAAGTAGCTCTTTGACAAAAGATAAGGAAAAAATTATATTATTTAAGCATAATTCATATTAAGTATGCTTAGATACAACGTTTATGTTTTAAAAAATGCTTTCATTTAAAAAATACTTTAAGAAGAATGTTATCCATAAATGTACGTCTTTCTTGTACCTTCCAAATTCACTACCAGATGCAGTCCAGAGATCTGTCACAACTGAAAAATCCCAAAGAAATATACAGAGTATATTGAGACCACTTCAGCAGAACTTACATTTTCTTCTTGTCACACTACTTTAATTCCTAGACAGACATTACATAAATGACCTCTTGAATAAGCAAACCTCCTATTCAAAAAAGCTAAATATCTTCATGAACTTTCCACAATTTAAATAAGTAATTGTTCTGTAATGTGCAAGTTCAGAAACTTTTTTTTAGATTTCAATACGAATGAGATAACAAAGAATCAACTAAAACAATGTGAAAATGGAGGAAATTTTAAAGAAAAAGTTTAACTACCTCTCTTGCTTTAGCAAGCATATGTTGGTATCTTTTTAACACTTCTTCCTTTTGAATTAATCTTGCTTGCATATTCGCAATGGTTTGATGAGCAATTATAATGGCATGATGGTATTCTGAATCATCTTGCTGTTCGCTTAATTCAGCCATTATTTTCTCTCCTGATGTTGCAGGTAATCGAAGTCTTAATTCATTTATAACTTTGTCTCTTGATAGAACATTTTGTTCAGCCTTCCACAGAGCAGTTTCCTTTTCTTTTAATTTCTAAAACAAAAGGCAATTCATGCATTTCCAGAATTCAAATGCTGCAAAAAAGATCTTAGTTTCAAATGTGCCAGAAAGATTTGTCTAAATGGACTTATAAACACAAAATCCTTTGCAATGTGTTCCGTTTGTATAGGATTACTGCTAAATGGAAATGTCCCAGAATACCATTACTGTATCTTTAGGTATTATTTGCTTGGCACAAGACACTTCAACAATTCATTTTGTACGATCAAATAAAGAAGCCTGTATTTTACAAACGATTTAAGAACCACAAAGTATCTTCTGTAACAGAGTAGCAACTTAATGAAAGATGAAAGTATTTTGTAACACTTGCTACATTAACTAGGTGTAGTCAACTGAATTTTGTACTGCAAGAGAACTTTATCCTWCTAAATAGATGCAAAAACATCCTCTATGATTTGTTTCAATGGAAAAAATATTTCATTTCATCCATGGCTGTGATCATATTATTTACATACTCTCTGTGTTTAATATATATGACATTTTAAAAAGGACGTTTTTAACAGAAAAAGAAATAAAAGGGAATGGAAATATAATTTAAAGTGACAAAGTTTGTAATTTATACATTTAATTACCTCCTCCAGTGATCTGCAGGTTGCCCTAGTTTCCATAATTGTTCGAATATGCTCCTGAATCTTTCTCAAAGCCAACTCAAGTTGTTGTGGGATTGGCAAACTAGGGTCTGGAACTGAGCCTGTAGCCTCTTCTAACTGCGCAGAAAGATTCATGTTCATATAATCTGACAGCTCTGAAAAACATGCTTATGAGTCTATTTTACTACATATACCTTTAAAGCTGTGCTAAGTATTTCATTTTGTTGATGATCGTACTGGTCTAATTGGCGCTGCAGTTCTACTTCTCTCCGGTCCCAAGCCATTTGCCTTTCTTCATGAAACTGTAACAAATTTTACATGAAACTATAACATGCAGACAATTTTTTTTATTATTATTTATTTATTGAAGGCAATGGGAGTTTTATAGCCAACTTCAACAGAAAAAATAGTTACCAAAACCTAAAGTACTCAAACAAGCTATAAAAAATAATTATGAAACCAAGATACAAACACCTATGTTAAAAACTTGTTAGAAAATCACTTAGTAAAATAAGGAATAAGGCTTTTTCATAGCATGCTAAAATACACACCTTGTTCTGCTGTACAATTTCTTCTTCCAGGTTACTGATTGTACATTCATATTCAGAAATTATATTACGCAAATACTTCACCTCTTCCTTTTGCTTGATTAATTCTCGACTGAGTTTAAGTTCTTGCAGATGGAGTTCCTCCATTTTCATATGCCATTCAATTACCTTGCAATGAATAACACACAGTATATTATAATTTACCACAGGCCAACTAGATGCAGATTCACTCTTTGCCTTTGATGCACGATAGAACTTCTCAAACMAACTGGAAGATAGATATTCTGTCTTTTTAAGCTTATTCTTTTCTCTTGAGTGAGGAAGCATGACAAGAGTATGAAAATGCAAGGGGTATGATTGATAAGTGCAGCAGACAGCTAGAGAGGCAACAGGTTTCCCTCACACTKACAAAAGTACATTGCAAACTATTTTGAAATTAACCACGTTATACCCTATGTATGTGTCCAGACTGGAAAAAAAGGTATGCAAGCGGTTTGTATGTTTTTTCAGAAAGACCAAAAGAATTCAAAACCATTAAAAGCTGTACATATTCAAAAAATGCACATGTACTAAGAATAACAGATATGTCAAAATGCTCTAGATAAATATTTGAAAACTGACTTTAAAACTAAAACGTGCCTACTGCATTACAACCATTGATTGCTTACATACAGACAATTTCAGCCATAACAAATAAAATCCTATTATATAATATACAGCGGCCTTGAGGAGAAGTGAGAAAGCCTTCTTAAGATTTCAGGGCAACATTGCCTACAGCTGCAAATTATGCTCAAGCAGAATTATATAAGCAGAGTAACGTTTCTGATCATGCTGCCCAAATTCCTGCTTCTGGATTTATTTACAATGACATAGATCTGTAGTGAAGATTTCACTGCAAGCTCATGGAACAGAACCTCAGAATGCCTCTCTGTATGTAATTTGATTTAATTAATCATTTAATCCAATTTAATAYAACTGCATTTAAAGTTAGCCTCTAGTTCCAATTAATGACTTAACTGGGCAAAAAAGATAATCAGTAAATAAAACTGCACTGACTTTCACAGAAAACAAAATATGATAGCTGTCATATTCCAACAGTGTATTTTGAAATTAATAAGTTTTACATTAAAATACATATTTAGAGAACAAACTGAAGTGAAACAACTTAAATGCAGATCAGTTAAACAAAGCTATTCAAAGCTGTACAATCACAAACCTTTTGAGCTCCTCTTGTATCCTTCAAAGCACTTACTAATTCTTCTAAACTTTTCAGTTTTAATTCCAGCTCTAATGYTCTGTTTTCTGCGTTTCGACACTCCTGCTGGGCATGCTGAACTTCTTCCAGGATCTTCAGTTTGTCATTCTGTAGCTGAATCATTGTTTTAGAAAACTTTTCTTGCTGTGCTAAAGGCAGAGCACCACTAAACTGCCGCCGCAAAGACTGGACTGTCTGTTGTAGATGTTTGGCTCTATTTCTTCCTTCGAGTCGGGCAAAGTATAAGGCTTGATCTCTCTCATCAAGCTTCTGCTCTAATCGTAGATTATGGATCTCCATCTTCTGTAGTTTCAGTTTAAACTTCTCCAATTTGCCTACAGCAATAGATTCACTACCTTGAAGGGCTATGATATCTTGATGCAGTTTTGCAATAACTGCTTTTTCATCTGACTGTGCCTAAGAACAAAATTGATAGAACAGATTTATTTTTCATTTTGAATATGTTAATGCAGTTTATATGTAAACACAAACAAGTTATTTTTTATTTTATATACTGCATATATTTTATTCCACAGAGAAGAGCAAGAATAAGTGTCTAGCAAGCTTTCAGTTTTTTCACTATTGTTTCTACAGCCACATTTCAGAAGTGCACCTTTTCATACACTGAGCTTGAAAATGGTCTCTTCCCAAAATACCACTAACTGATGAAGAAATATATACCTAAACTCACCAAATATGGTAAAATCCCAATAAAACTGTTTTAGCTAGTAACAAAACAAAATAGTGAGTCTATTGCAAATCTTCAATATTTAAAAGTAATTTCTTGTCTTGTAAAAAATTATCAGACTTTATCAGACTTTCCTGACCATGATCTTTTCCTTGACCGTGAGCCATTAATGATACAGGAATGAGTATTACTTAAACAAAATGGGAAAAGRTTATGACCTGTAATGGAAGTAAATGGAGAAGGGACGAATTAATAGAAAATGGAACTTTTGGAAGGGTGTGGGCATTACAAAGGCTAGCTTGCTAAGATCTATCTGAAATATTTTTGCAGTTTTCTAATTCATTATAAAATTACTTCATTTCTTCACACTCCAGGAGAAAAAATCCAAACTCCAGTTTTAATAAATGAATTTAATTTTACCTGGTAATCTAAAATTTGCATTCTAAGAGATTCYACTTCTTTATCTCTGTATTGCTGGCGTGCCTCCAGAGCTTCAACTTGTGCTTTTGCTACATCAGACAGTTCTCTTAACCTTCCAGAAAAAACAAGAATATTGTGTCACTTGAAACCACTGTGCAACCTATTATATTTTTCTACATAGAAGATGCTAAGGAAAGATACTTAGTATGTTTCCTCATATCAAAACATTTGGATTTCATTCTTTTCAACATACTTGTCTGTATTACTCAGAGTTGTGGTTAAGAAAATTCTTCTGTATTGCCTCTCAACATTTTAAAAACGTTTTCCTATACATTATACAGAAGTTTGCTAGCAGCAACCTACTGCAGGAAAACAATGCCATGGTTTTTTTTGCCTGAATAAAGCATCTCTGTCCTCTATTTCTCTCCCACTTCAGGATATACATACTCAACATTTTCTAAATGCTCAAAAAGTTTCATTCTCAATTCCTTTCTCTGCTTCCTCAAGTCTCATCACTTATTTGCAGTGCCAAAAATCACTGCAAGTATCCCTATATACTATTTGATAATTTGGGAATATAACAGAATAACAYTAATTATTCAAAGACAAATGTCCATATCAACATATCTAAAAAACTCAGTTTTTCAATTTATGCAAACTTAATCTCTTTCAAGTAAAGGCAAACTTCCCTCCTACTGTAGCTTAATCTTTGAGATAGGAGTCTTTCAACATAAGAACTACTTTCCAATTAGCTCTATGAGCTATTCACACATATAAGAGGCACAGAAACAAAATCAACTTTTATTAGTTTAAAAATTACTATTGTAAGAATCTAATTGCATCCTTACCCTATGAATCCATGCCAGCACTTAGTTCCATTTTAATTTGAATAAGTAATTATTACATTCTTTATAGTCAGGAATTAAATGCTTCATTTTTAATGTCAAATTTGGTATATATAAATGCTCAAAAACACAGGCATTGAAAATTGGATGTTAGTGATACATAAGTAGTGTATTACATACAACTAATATGCCTAAATTTTCACACATTTCCAAACATACAGCATTCAAAATTTGTTACTTCAACACTTACTTTGATACTTCAATCTTGAGCTCCATCTCACGCTTCTCTAGGTACATGATTTGTCGTCTATCCGCATCACTTACTGCCTTACTTACACTCTTTGACAGTTCATCTCTTAATTCCTGTTCCACTTTCTGTGCCTCAAGGTTGATTTTGGTGAGCTTAAAAAAATCAAAACCAGAAACAAACAAAATGGTACCCTAAACCCATAACTGCTCGAACTCTGCAATGAAATAGCAGTGCCAAAAGAATTTTTTCTTTTCCACTCATTATAATACACAGKTCAGCTGTGTTGAGGTTGTGCTCAAGAAACAACTTCCTTTACACTCTGCTTAAACATCTTTTTGTTTTCAGAGCTGCACACATACAGGAACAGATACACAAGTTGGCACAGAAAAGGACTGTAAGCTAAACACAATTTTTATTTGTCAATTTTCTTAAAACCATTACTACAATAACTTGTTCTTAAACTAAAAAGAAAAATATAAATAATTTTTTAAAAATTACTGTAAATACTTTAGCAAATGAACAATACTTCTATTCCTGTGTTACAGACAATGTGTGGCATAGGGCATAGCCTGCCTGTAACTGAATCATAACACTATCATTTCCACAAGGGATGTAAAGTTCTAACAATTTTTTTTTTGTAATTGGTAATTATAAGRAAAAATTAATTGAAAAGAGATTTAAGATCTGTAAAAGAAACTCGGGGTGAACGAGTTTTTCTTGAATAATGGGAATGTAAGCTATAAAAAGAAACCCCAGCTATCAAGAAAGAATACTTTCTTACCAAGCATGAATTAGATAAAAGAAATAACAGGTCAGGAACAGACCTTTTTCTTGCAGTCCGCTGACAAAACTAAGAAACTGTCAAGATGTTCATCGTGTGTTCTACAGATATTAGCTAACATTTAAAATATACTACTGGCAAATTAATTAGTTATATTTTTAACAATGTCCTGCACATGCAAAACTGCAGCTTTTAAAGGCAACTATGTTTTGCATAAGCTTATTTATGCACTTATTTATTGATACAAATTTGTATTATTGATACAAATAATTTTTGAAAAAGCTAAAAAATATGCTTTTAAGATCTATCAAACTAGGTTGTTAAATCTCAGCAGATTTACCTCAGCAAACTTTGTTTCCAATTCAAAATTACGATCTTCTATTTGCTTTACAGTACTCCTTAAATGTTCATACATTCGTTGTGAATGTTCTGCTCTCTGTCTTTCATTTAGTTCCTTCATTTCCAACACTGTAATTTTCTTAGAAATGGACAGAATCTCACTGTTGGTTATTGCTTTTGTGGCTTTGTCCATAGTACTGTCATCCCCTACAAGAAAAAATATTTAAATTAGGGAATATACAAGCTGATTCAACTACGAAAATAATTTCCACAATGTAAACTGAACATGAGTTTTGCTTCATCTGTGTTAGATAAACTTTATCAGAACATCTGTACTTTTTTTAAAACTTTTAGGCATGGTTATCTTGCCATATTATGTTTGAAAAGTATGCAATTTAAATAAAATACTGCTATCATTTATAAATGCATATATCTGCAACCAGTTAGTGAGACTGGTAACTATTTTCAGTGTAACCTTTCATTTTATGCTTAATATAACTGGTAAATCTTCAGGAAAGTTAATTTAAGATCTGTAAAAGAAACAGGGGTGAASGAGTTTTTCTTGAATAATGGGAATGTAAGCTATAAAAAGAAACCCCAGCTATCAAGAAAGAATACTTTCTTACCAAGCATGAAACCAGCAAACAGAAATCACTTGCTTGACAACCTCTGGAACACTATGACTGACAATCCAGTTGGAATATATTAAGAAAAAAAAAATCAGGTGCTGTTGCTTTAAAAACTTTTAAAGCCTTGACTCAATAATCCAAGAAAAGTCAAATAATCCAATAGTTTCCAGAGAAATATACCAAACCTGGTTTTAGTCAAATGACACATACAAACAAAAAATTCAGAAAGAAAATTAGGACCATTACAAAAGATAAAAAATAGTTCTGATTTTTTAATTCTGGTTATTTGAAGATACATCAGTTTTAAAATATTTTCAAGTATTACTTTTAGACAGAATATATCATTTGGTTTTTAATACTGCAATATARTTTTCATACTTGCCCAGTTTAGTCATCTGTTCCCAAGCTTGTTCTACAGTGTGAAGTTTCTCTTTCGTGATCTCAAGCTCCTTATTCAATGAATTTATCTGTGCTTTCAAGGATTCATTCTCACGCTGTATGACATAAAAGTTGCAACATAACAGCAAAGTGTTTAATTGTAGCAGGTTTCTTCTTTAGTATCTATGAAATCTTTCAGCTTAACACATTCTGTGTGCAACCTATAACCTACACATATGGCACCAGAAGAGTATGTTTGCTCCTAAGTGTAAATATGTTAGTCTTTGTTCTCTGTATCTTACTGTCACAGCTAGTGAATATTTATTACCAGTAATACTGTGAATATTTATTACCAGYGTCTGTGATTCCTGCAGTGTCTAGAATTAGATGAAAAAATCTTTGTTTGTCATACTGAGCACCTCATTAACAGTGGAAAAGAAGTACTTCTGGAGGATATTTCATCCCACACAGGGTGCTTCATCTTGCACATAAATACCTATTTGAGATAGATCATACATTTCTTTTAGTTTTTTTCAGCACCTAACAAGATGCCAAACATTACTCTGGCAAATGTTCCATCATTCCAAATAGAAACACAAATTTCCACATTAACCAATAAAACAAACTGAATACTTCATATTAAATTTCCATTTTTAGCTTTCTGGACATATTTGCAGTTGATAAATGGTTCTCTAACTCAATGAAGTTGCTGAAATAGACAATGCAAGTTTTCATACATGCAAAATTCCATAGACACAGGAGTCATTCATTCTTTTTCATCATGAAAAGTAGGAGGTAGAAATGTATCTTTGAAGCCAACTTCACTTCCTGTGAAGAAACTCCCTTCTACTTCAGAATAAAAGTTCACAGGAAGAGTTAAATACCTGCAGTYGCTACAACATTTTGGAAATACATTATCAACAATCTCTAGTCTTTTTGGATTCTTTTATGGAAGTACAGTCTAAAGCTTTACTCTTTTCTTGAACTAAACATTTAATTCCTATGAAAGCTGGAAATTAGAAAGAGCACCTAGTTTGAGAAAAAGCTTTGAAAGTATCTAAATTCATTCTACTTTCTATAAAACCTCCAAAACTGAAGATGATAGCAAATATTCCTTCTGCCAGCCTTGTTTTAGTAATCAAAGAACTAAAAATAATTGCTGAGGGAACATATCCAAATCTTAATTTAAAGAGCAAACAAAAACCTAAAGAACCAGAACAAAATGCTTTTATGACTGCCCACTGAAATAAAATCTGGAACTCTGTGTATCCGTCTTAATCCACTAAAGAATACCAGGAAGGCAAACTAAAATTCAATAGCAACAGTCACACTGGCTCAAACATGTAATTTTCACTATTCTAATACTGTTCTAATCAGCAGTTTCAGTGCTGAAACTTCTATTGTTCTATTAAGTGAGAAAAAAAAACCAAAACCCAAAGCAGAATGAATATATAACCATTTTTTTTCCCTTATGGTCAGAACATAACACCCACATTACCTCCATGTGTTCCATGTCTGTTGTCCGTTGGACCAGCAAATTATCTTTTTGCAACATCTCTCTATACTTAGCAGTTAATGCATTGAACTGCTTATTGGCCACTTCCAGCTCAGACAATGGCACACTACCATCCAGCACTTTCTGCAGAGCTGCAATCTTAAAGCAAGCCATTTCCTGTGAAAACAACCATCACAATGGGCTACTAAGGTCAGCTAGAAATTTAAATATAAAATTACTCCATTAAAAAGAATACTACTTAATATAATGTTTTAGACACTGGTTTATTTTCRTAATTTACCGTTCATTTTAAAAACTGCCTGCAATAGACACTGATAAAATTTGTCTGATACTTAACTCTCTGGATTATTTTTTCAATAGTTGCTCTCAAGCACTGTCAAAACATATTTTATAAAATTAATACAGGCCGTAGCAACCTGCAAGGGCAAAACGTAAGATTTAGTTTCATATGATGATCACAGAACCACAGAATGGTTGGGTTGGAAGGGCACCTTGAAGATCATCTAGTTCCAAACCACCCTGTCATGGGCAGAGACACCTTCCACTAGACCAGGTTCTTCAGAGCCCCATCCAACCTGGCTTTGAACACTTCTAGGGATGGGGCATCCACAGTTTTTCTGGACAACCTGTTGCCAAAAAACACCTCACCACYTTCACAGTAAAAAATTTCTTCTTAACATCTAATTTAAATTTACCCTCTTTTGGTTTGAAGCCAATGCCCCTTGTCGAATCACTATATCCCCTTGTCAAAAGTCTCTCTCTGTATTTCTTGTAGGTTCCCTCCAGATATGGAAGGCCAGAATTAGGTCACTCCAAAGTCTTTCTCTTTTCCAATCTGAACAATCCCAACTCTCTCAGCCTTTCTTCATAGCAGCCACAGCACTTTTGATACAGCCCAGGATACCTTTCCACCAGCAAGTCCTTCTCAGCAGGGCTGCTCTTGATCCCTTCATCCTCCAGYCTGGACTGMTAACAGGGGGTGCCCTGACCCAGGTGCAGCATCTTGCACTTGGTCTTGTTAGACCACATGAGATTCCCACTGACTTACTTCTTGAGCTTGTCCAGGACACAATGCTTATTTAAATATCAAGAATATTTCTACAAGATTTGTAACAGCATTTAACAAGCTTTTGGGTAATGCATTCAAGAAACTAGTACTGACTCCATTTAAAAACAAAGGGTATTTACTTCCAAATTGTAAAAAATAAAAATGTGTGCTATTACTACTATAAACTATACCTTGAATCGTTGCAAGTTTCCAATCTTCCCTGTAACTGCAGTCTCCATATATGTTATTTCACCCTTTAGTTTCTCATTTTCTTTCCTGAGGTGCCGTTCCATTTCTAGTAAAGTGGTACACTGCCTCGTTAGTGATTTTTCATTAACTCGTAAAACTGTTATTTTTCTATTATTTTCTGCAAGTACTTTTTTTCCTTCATCAGGGTCCATCTGAAGTGCATCGAGTAAATTCTGTAAAACATTTTTTTAACAAGAACCTCATACAGAAATATGGCAAAGCACAACTACATAGACAAGCTTTCTGGTCTATTTTTAAATGTAGGTGGAAAAATTGCATTAATCCATCAGAATTAATTTTTTTTTTGCTTCTAAACACTCAACAGATGCTCAGGCATACAATATTCTAGGAAAAAGATGAATCTTCAGAAGCTAAGTACATTTGACTGACTAACTGGAATTTTAATCAATGCTGACATTTTTAAAATTTAGAACAAGAATGGTTCTCTACATTCACTGTCATCAGTCTTCCCTTCCATACTGGAATAAAAAAAAACCCATTGGAACAATTTTCTACACAAGACAGAAGTCCTGTGGTTCTAAACAAACCCTAATTATGTCCTACTTTGAAGACCAAACCCCTACTTGCAAAGTAACCACAGGATCCCTCCTATAGAAACATTTCTGTGTATGTGTGCACATGTTTGCATGCACGTAAAAATCTCACGAGGGGCAGCAGTGGGGAGAGCAAACTATGGCATCTCAGAAGTCATGTGAGCTTTAGCTTTGCTGTCACACACATCAGCTTGCCAAGGAGACAGGTAGTAGAAAGTGGAGCTGCTAGAACTCTGTCTGAACATCCACAGCTACTTTCAACACCCTGTGATATCCTTGCCCTGTGTCTGCTTCTCCAAAAGGATACGATAGGCAGGTATGTCTTCAGTTAAAWTTTGCAGTTTGGCGCCCAAAACCACCCATAGCTATCTAAAATTGCACTATGTCTGTGATAAGACACCTACATCAATTCCAAGAACTTTAAATACCACCAGTACTTTTAAGTTTTCTTAATGTAATATTTAATTCAGATACAGTGGAAGTAAATCAAAACAGAAAGGTGAATTCTGTTTCCTATTTTTCTGAAACAATATTCATTTAAATTAGCAGTTATATATAATAAAGTGCAATTAAAAGTAATAACCTTCATTCTTAGTATAAACTAATGTGTTTACCAAGGGGTTACCGTATCTCCTCCTTCCAAGCAGCCTGGATAACAACTGCTGTTAAGAGAGCAGTGTGAGTGTAAATAATGTGTGTGAACAGAACACCGGAGACAGCTTGAGAACGCATTTGCTCAAAACCGATTATGTTAAAGGGAAAGATCACCATGAACCACACTGAACCGTAACCATAAAAATAGAGACTTGAAGTTGTCAGCATGAAAATTAGTGTAAAAAAAGCATAAAAACTTCTAACAGCAGGGGCAGAAAGGGTTATAATGCAGCACTCAAAACTTAATTCAGCTTTCTCCCATGTCCCTGCATCTTCTGCGCAGATGTGAGTGATTCTTCCCCACTGAACACCACCCCTCRGTACTCCAGATAATGGTCTGGAGGTACTAAGTGCAACAATTAGGGACCCACATCTCAGGTGTGTGATGTGCCCTCCTAGAGTGGTTTCTCCCCAGTGCATGGATTAGCACCCCGCAGGAAGGCCAACACACAACACTGGGGCACCACCACATGTACACAGCACCCCAGAGTACACACACAAGGTGTGTGTATACATTTCCCYCATCAAACAAATGAGGGTAGTGTATTAAAACCTCTGTTCTATGTTCTAAAGTATTTTTTTTTAAATGAAAGGAACAAAATTACTTACAGAATATGCTTTTATTTTTGTAGCATCCTGTTCTTTTTGCTCTTTGAGTTTTCTCATTTCCTCTTTAATGTTTTCTGATTCTTTTTGCCAGCTTTCCTTTTGACTAAAACAGTAAGGAATTTTAATTTATTATGATGAATTTTAAAACTGTAACTTCAACAGCAGCTCTGAGATACTGCAAATCAAAGTACTTAATTTTAGCAGCAATGTAATTAGAAATACACATGATAAATTGTAGATGGTTTACTGAAAAACAAGAGCCTCTTTTTAGGCCACTTGATTCAATGATGAAAATAATTCTTCAGTGTCTTATTTCTTCTTCAAATATATATTATAATATATGCCTTAATTTCCTACTTTTTTGCCCAAAAATCTTTCCTTCTATTACACTTATCTTAATTCAAATGCATAAAGGATGTAACTTCCCACCCTTGTTTCGTTCAGTGAAAAACACACCCAAAACTTAAAAACATTCAGCTTATTCAGCTCCACTTTGCCCAAACTACTTTCCTCTATCCATTTTTACTTATTTATTTGGGGAAAAAAAGACTATGAACTTCCATACATGTCTAATAAGAAAGTTCCTATAGGCTGTATGGCATAGTTTAGGCTAGTTTAAACAATGRTTAATCAAGGGTATTTCAGAAGTAGTTTTTTCTCTTCAGACAAGGTACCTTAGTTTCTTACATTATGAAGAAACTGTCACTGGAGATATCTCATGTGTAGTAAATGAGGCAGTAGATTACAACCTTTAATAAAAAAGCTGTCTCTTTAAAAAAGAGATAACATTGTGTGAAGACCTGAGCTGATTTAAAGAACAAACAAAAGTTTCTGAAAGGTTAAAACCCTTATTCCAGAAGCCATCCAGGTGACTGTTCATTCCAATTCAGAGTTTTCAACTAACTGTTACTTGAAAAATCCAAATCATCATATTCATCCCTATCCTCCTCACAGATGGAGGATTTATTTTTTTAACTGTAAGAGTAATTTTATTCAATTTAGGTTCACTGAAGCATATAAAAGAACTAAGAGTCTGAAAGAAAACCAGCCATAAAATCCTGACAACCTGAAATTTTCAGAGATCTCTGACTGGATAGCAGTTTGCTTTCACTCCTCCCGTCCTCTCCGCTACCAAAAACCTATTRAAACTCATACCTGAAAGCCAAAGAATATGAGGCTGAAGAGTCTGTCATAGCAGGTTCTAATAAGATGCAGCAAGCACAATGAAATCCTCATGGTAAAATATGCAACATGTGAGGAGTCCAGCAGAAAACAGTTTTGTAAGAGTTATTCTAAGTCTTTACAGGACCCAAGAAAATGTATGGAGTCCGTATACAAACACGGCAGCACTTACAACTTTAACCAAAAAACTACTTCAACACAGCAGCAAATCTTGTTTCAAGACTGTTAAATATTTAGGTAATTGAACTTTCAAAATTCAGGAAAGAGAGCAATACCTTTGATATTCTTTATACAGCAAGCCTTGTTGATGACGAATTACTGCAAATTTTCGCTTGTAGTCYTCTACTGCATCTTCCAATTGTTTAAGTAGCTTTTCTTTGTTTTCCAGCTCCTAATTATTATTTTCCAAATAAAAATACAGAAATTATTAATATAGATTCTAAACACTGAACTATCAATTTAATCAAAATGGCAGTCCTTTGTATTTTCATGATAGATGCTTCTGCCATGAACTGTGTGAACTAAGGATATGAAATATATTTTTTCTTTAGAAGCAACAGATGAAAAAAGTCCAATGAGCTTTGGCATTCACATTCACAGGTGTGAAATAGAGCACAATTGCACTGTAGGTTACAGTCCTCAAAGTTCAAAACACCATGACCTGTAGCTAGCCCATAAAAAATACTAACTGAATGTCTAAATGGGAAGTGATATTTTCTTCTCATTTTCCTAAATATTCTTCTACTTTATAAGCATATAGAGTTGAAAAAATATTCTCTAATGAAAAAGTAAATACTGGTGGTAGGAGTCTTAAGAAAAATAATAAAACTTAATAATAATAAAACTTAACATAGGAATAGTAATAAAAAGGCAACTTTTTTTTACTCCAATTCTGAAAGAGTCAATTTTTCATTACTATATGCCTGTTTGCTTTGCTTCCCAGGGGAATTACCAGCATCTGTTTCAATGTATTTATGTTTCTATTTACGATTGTTGATGCATTTTAGACAAATAATGGAATGAAAATTTATGTAGTAAATTAATAAGAGACCTTGACTCTATAGGGAAAAACTGTTCAAGTAGGATTTGCACATGCAGACTCAAGATGTCGAATCCAGACAGCAGAAAGAGACAATTTCTCACAGAAAGTGCAACTGTGGAAGCAGAAGGAAGAGTGGGCAAATATTTAGATGAAAATTTAGATTTATAACACAAAAAATCTGAATTGCTGTCCAAAATTTAGTTAACTATTACCTTTCAGGCTTATAGTACAGCAAAACACAGCTTTAAAGAACAGAATAGCCCAGAGTTTAGTAGATGTTAGAACACCAAAATAATATTTGAGAGATCTCTCGTGTCCACAMGTGGCATTTTAGAGGAATTAGATACATGTTATGAATACTCTGTATTTCAAGGAATATATGAGTTACCTGTGTAAGATGTATTAAATATTCATTCAGAGAATTAATCGTATTAGCACTTGAAGGAGCCATTCCTTCTGGAAGATTCACTGTTTGGAAGACAATATTGGTTCCTTCTGACTGATGCAGTAAGCAAATTTCATTTTTCATTTGTGCAATCTAAAGAAAGGATACAAAACCATGAAGAAATAGCTCTTGCTATTAGATTTCAAAAACTGATGGAAAATATATTGCTACATCAGTTGCAATTAACAACCTAATTAATTTTCACTTATATTCTAAAACATTCTAATACTCCTTAAAATAGCCTTTTTAAAATGCTGATTTCATAAATAATTAAATGCACAATAGATTTAGTCAAATTTATCAAATTATCCCAGCAATCAGGGCAACTACCATATTACCACAGTTTTATTCCCAATACTTTAAAACATAGTGCATTTCTACTCCTTTAGTAAGATTAAGTTTTGAAAAAACGAATTGCAATGGTTACTTCACAGTTTTGAAGTAACTTGTGTTGTATTGTATTTGTATTTAAACAAATATTTGCCTTTTCATTTAATTTAAAAGCACTCAGGTTCTCTAACAGTATGTAAAACACGATTCTTGAAGATTCATTTCTGGCAAATCTTTTTGCACCACCAAAGATAATCACAAAAGGTAAATTTAAATYTGGCTTCTTGTAAGAGAATATTGCATTCCTCCTTCTTTCCCTAGAAGAAGCATTCCACAGAATGAACTGTACTTCTTAAAACAAGACTTTAGAGAATGCTTCATCATTTCAAACACCTAATTTCTGTTACTTATTTATAATAAATGCAAGACTCATGGCTTCTTTAAGACAGATTTGTGAGCTTTTTTGGRCACAGCTCTCCCCAGAAAATAGGCATGCTTGGTGTTTAACAGGATAGAATATTCAAAGGATAAAGCAACATTAAGAAGGGTAACCTGAACTTGAAATGGATTAATTAGTAGGTCCACTACATAAATTTCTGTAAGATTTATACAATCACACTGTTCCTATAAGCTAAATTCAGTCTCTTATAAATTGTGTGGACTGCTCTAAATTATCAGAACAGCCACTTTTGAAGTACAAAATAAATTATATAAAGTAAATTATATACCTTTTCGTTGGCACTTGCCAGCTGATTAGACAAACTTGTTGCCTCCTTCTGAGTCTCTTTCAGCTCCTGTCTCAATTCCTCATTTCGTCCTGTAAGCTGATCAACCTGAGCTTTCAAGTGCACGCTAGCATCAAAGATCCCCTCTGAATTCTTTGACTCCATTGCCTAATACAGTGAACAATTAACAAATCAGAGAAAAAGTGCAGAAAAGCTTTTTCATAGTAAACTGGAGCCCTCAAGTTTAGGCTACATAAAATTATTAAAAATCATGACATTTTAACATTGTAAAATCTGTTTATCAGTTTCCTGGTGGTATATTTGCCATAGATTATGACTTATACAGTTACATTTTCCTGGAAAACTGCTAATTTTTTGCAAGATGTTTGAATAATGAAATTTTTAAAAACATTTCCAGCAGATCCCACAGAGTTAAAAGACAGGCAAATGAACTTTTACCTAAGCTTTATGAATGGAAAAACAAATTTGCCAAGGACAGTTTTATAATATCCAGCAGAAGGTAAGAGTTTTTTTAATTGTATTTGCAATCCCTTCTCCTGTGTAATTTAATTTACCTTGTTAAAGAGGAATCACACTAAGAAAGCATATGTTGAAAGAAACTACTATTAAATTATACAATAACCTAATAACTGAGGAAGACAAGAATACTCTGTAAATCCTATAAAGCCAAATAATACTTTACATAGCAAGCTTACATGAACTAAACGATCCAGACTAGGAATTATTAAGGCTGTTTCTCCTCCCTTCATACTTGGATCCTTCTGCATTTCCTTGATGGCTTGCAATATTTCTTTCATTCCTTGTTCAAGTTGTTTATTCTCTTCTGACAGCTCTTTTACTGTAATAGAAGTTGTAGTTGTGTTAAAAAGCACTGAAAAAAATGAGTTGTTTCCTAGGGCATTTCATCTTATTGATTTGATAAATTAAAATAATATTCATATTATGCATACATAGGTATATCCAATTAGGAAATTAAAAGCAGAGCTGCTAGGAATATCCAGAAAGTTCTTATTGATGAAATACCAAGAAAAAAGGTAATTAAATGCTTCATGTGAATGCAATAGACTTCATTTAACCTTCCAGTCCTCAATGTTTAATTCTACTTTAAACTTCTTAAGCAGCCGGACTCTCACCAGTCCAGAAATATGGCTATCTTGTAAATGTCTGGGTGTAACAATGAAGTATCTAAAAATTGCCTGAATTCCTTCTGCAGACTGAGGACAAAAAGGAGCATTTAAATTATGTGACTGCCAAGGATTGTCAAGACTCCGACCACCAGTAGTTTCTCAGTGAAATTCCAATTTCCAGCATAAAGCAAGAAGTCTGTGAAGTAAAAAACCCCAACAAACCTGTCAGGACATTCTCTGAATTCAAACAATATGGCTAATCATCCTGAATATCCATGAGTGAACTGAAAAAACTTGACCAGTTTTCACCATTTCTATTTTGAAATGTCAGAAAGAATTTTTAGAATCCACATTCTCTGGGGGAAAAAATTAAGCTTCTTGTCCTGGGAAATATTTTTTTTTTTATTTCAGAGTTTTCAAGCAGTGCCTTTCAGCTTACATACATATATTAGTAAGCAGCAAATGGCTCCAATTCCCCAGCACTTCCATAGAGCCAGAAAACTCAAGTTGTATAATTATTACAATTGGGATTACTCACACACACACACACACACACTTCAAACCCTTAGTGGATCTGAATCAAGAATGAAAAACATAAGAGATCGTATTTTACTGTCTTTAGTGTGAATAAACGATGTTTCATGTACTATCATTGACTTTCACATACACTATATGTGTATATTGACACACACATGCAAAGATATACACTAATATAAACATAAAAMTTTTTTATAAGTCTGATAGTTATGATCACATTATGGAAACAGAACAAATAAATAAGCAAACTATCTACAGGTACCTGATAATCTTCCCTAGTTTAGGGAACTTAGACTTACAACTTACATTTAGATTGAAATTTGACCATTACAGTCCTGCTCTTTTCCAAATCTCTCTCTCTCTGATGTAATTCAGTTGCAAGATAGTCATTCTAAAGAAAAAAAACACAAAATTTCTCCTAGACAAAAAATATGCAGAATCCAATCTTAGCAATGTACTATTTTGGTCCAGAACTTTTTCAAATTTGAAGTATGCATTCATGAAAATTTTACAGTCTACATACTGATTTCTTGCCTAAAATATGAACAGAAATTGATTCACTGGAATAATTAAAAGAGGTGTAASTGTCCAGAGCAAAATAGGTATTCTCAGGTCATGCAGCAGCTGGAATAGTGGTCTGGTACAGACCAAAAGTCTGTAAGGCTGTGTGAATTGTAGCTCTGCTGGTGATACGAAAACASTAAGAGTTTCAGAATTACATTTGTGTTTAACTAGTTGCCACTCTATAACATGTTTAAAAGCTAAATGAACAGAAAAAGTATTTGGTTTTTTCCAAGTGATCTGAACCCTCATGTGGCCAGAAGCTCTTCAAAGTAAATTTCCCACAACCTGTTTCTAGCTATATTTTTCTTTGACTTCGGAATTTCAACTGGTGCTACTCTATCTGCAAGTGCATTTCTCCATTCCACATTACATGGCCTGTATTTACAAAAAATATAGAATATTCTTAGTCTTCTAAAAATATTACCAATTATTAATTTTGGGATTTTTTATAGTCAGTAAAATACCTTAGATAAATATTTAATATATATTTGCAAAAYAGTTTTTTTAGATAATGAAAGATAAATACAAGAAATGTTTATAAACTTGCTTTATGAATCTACCTTTGCTTTTTCTTCAGCAATGTCATGTCTGCTCAAGCAATCCAACTTCCTCATATTCTTTTCCTTCTCTTCAGTAAAACTATCAGTCATCTCCATATTATCAGCATCCAATCCTAAGAGATGTACAAGTAATGAWTTATAATGACATTTTAATTGGTCTCCAAGCAAAAGAATATATTCCATTTATTATAACTGAGTTCTAGTTTTCTACCTTTCCATCTGAGCACATTATGCTACCCTCAGTGGCACAGAATTGAAATTTTAAGATTTTTGAGACACAAGAATTAAGTGTATTTACTGGAAATTTTAGGGAGAACATCCTGCACCCATCGCAAGGCAATGACAGAAGTCTTGGTGAGCCATTACAAGCAATTACAACTCAAAAAGATACTGGGCTCTAAGATTAGGAAATCCAAAAGCASTCACCTCTTCCTACAGGTTCAGTGTGAAGTATTTAGCCTTTTAATTCAAACAAAGAAGTAAATATAACGTAGCTATATTAATAAGTATAAACAAAATATTTTTGAAAGGACAGTTTATAGTAAAAACATCCTACCTATTGTTGCAACTCTTCTTCCTTTCTCCTGAGCCAACTTACGAATGTGTTTTTTCAGTTCAATTCTTTCCTCTTCCAGTCTTTCGATCTGTGTATTATTATCCACAGATCAGTATTCCATTTTGTTCAAATACACATTTATTACATAGCTGTTACACAAAAATAGGATTTATCACTTACCTCTTGCAAAAGAATCTGGTTTTCAGCTCTATATTGCTCCTGCTTCAGTGCTTTGCTGTTTCTGAGTTCATTTAAATCAATCATTGTTTTTGGCTCAAGACCTAAAACAAAGTATAACAGCATATACATTAAGGAGGAACATTAATGTTAGCTAATGCAGTTAATTTACAAAACAACTTAACTAGCCAAGTAGAATTAAAAAAAATAATTTGTTGATAGTTGAATATATTTCAACTATCTATAAAAATACATAACTATCTATGTAACGTATACACACATCTTATACTTCAGTCATTAAAACCAGAAGAAAGCTGAATTTTATCAGTTACTGAAAACCCAAAAATGTATTAAAGTAGCACCTAAAATTAACTTTATTTACATTTAAATTCTTCAATTTTAAAATAAGCATGTCTGAAATTTTCTGTTTTCATCTAGCATTACAACTTCAGGATGCCCCAGTTCCCAAATACCGTATTAAGAAGTTTATTAGGCGGTGYGTGGTGAAAGAGAAATCAAAACCCAAAAAGATAACCTATTCTCCTACWTTCTTCAGTCAAAGGAACCTGTAAGCCAAGTTGATTCATGCAGTTTGTCCAAACTAATTAAAACTACTTGGAAATATTAACCGAAAATACCAAATTGTTACCAGTGACTTGGTAGAATAAAAATTTGTATTATAATATCCTATTGTATTTTTCACACAACAAATAATTGAACATGTACTGGATAGAGCATACCTAAGCGCTCTCTGAGTTCTTCATTTTCATCAAGAAAGTCATTTATTTTAAGTTCAAGTTTATTGACTTCCTTAATTAATGATTCAATCTCACATTCTCGTATTTTGACTTGCTTTCTTAAATCTTTGATTTCAGCAACAGCTTCTTCCAAGCCATATATTCCCTGTAAAAACCCCACATGGGAAGTAAAAGAAAAACAATCAGTAGAAGACTTATTAGAACAGATTGAGAATCTTTCTTGCATCATTATACAGACAAGAAAAAAAAAYTTTCTTTTTCTTTTCATCCTCTATAACTCTTCTGCACTATGCTTAGTGAAATAAATTGCTGAATAAAAGGCAGATCTTAYAAATCGATCCTTGACTACAGATTTCAAAAGTGACTCCTCCAACTATGTGATCCTTTGAAGAACCACATCCTGAGTGCTCTATTACTGTCCAACAGAGAAGGGAAGAGGAAGGGGAAGGGCATCAAAGTAATTTATTTAAATTTTGATTAGAACACAGTCAACAATAAATGTGGAAGGACAAAATGCTCTCCTACAAATATAATGAACACCCTGTCCACTCTGACAAACTGTTTACCAGTTCATAGTCTCTCATTCTTTTCAAAGTCTCAACAAGCTCTTGGTCCTTTTCTCTAGCATGTGCTTCTGCCAATTCTGCTGATTTCTCAGCCTCCATAGTTCTCTCTTCTAGCATTTTTAACTTTTCTTGCATATCCCCGATTTGATTCTGCTGAGAAAGAGATGAGTAACCTGGAAACAAAAACCTTGATGTTTACAATTCAACTAGGAATTCTTGCTATCTGCCACTAATCAAGACAGAAACACTTCAGAAAACATTGTAAAAGAGACCTTAATTTCCTGCTCCTTTTAATTAGAAAAATACAAGAGACTACATAAAAGAGGTTGGGTTTTCTTACCCCCAATAGTTTCTTCAAACATTTATCATAAATGAGTGCACAGAAGTGGTATCAGAATTTATTTGGAACTGCATGCTATTACTCCTTTTCGATTCTTGATGGAGCTGAGACCTTATACGTTATGCTCTAACTTTTACAGATCAGGTAGTTTTATTGCCCATAAACCCCACTGAGATAATCTGGATAAATTTAAACTTTTCATGAACATTTAATAAAAGGACATGAAGAAAAAAAATTACTCAAATACTACAATTATTTTWCCCCCTGTATTTCTAGAAAACAAAGAATGTACAGTAAATTTGTGGTTTCTGATTCTCCTAATTCTGATGTAAATACAAAATAGTCAGGTTACCTTTATCTTTTTGGAGATCATCTTTTAATTTCTCAATAACAAATGCATTTTTCTCCATTTCTTTAGTATACTGTTCAACTTGCTCAGTAAGCAATCTTATCTGAGYATCTCGCTCTTGCACATCCTACACATGCAAAAAAAAGAAATTCCATTAAAGGATCCTTCTTTACTGACAGGCAAACTACCAACACCACATGGTAAACAAAGAAATAACATGTAGCTAATACAAAGCAATTTATAGAAAATCAAATATACTACACTGACAACAGAGATTTCAGATATTACCTAGAAGTTTGGTATAGAAATGCAAAGCAGGAAAATTTTTTTTAAAAGTGAAAACAAGGCCCTCAAACATAGGAAAAAAGCAGCCTTTTAGCAGAATGATTTTAAATGGAAACAGTACTCTCAATGTTTGCCAGTGTTAGGTGAAAAGTTACAGATTATACAGGTTTTTTGCAGCTTCCTCATAAACAATTGCCACTGGGAACTGAGAGATACAAGTTCAAGATTGCAAAGACTAACAATCCATCTTACATGACACCTGAACTGTAGACAGCTTTTCAGCAAGTCATCTAACTTTAAAAAATTCATATAATGCCTTGTTTTGCATGCATATACACACAGACTGTGAAAGTGACTTGTATTTATACTATGCTGTTTCTGTACTTGTACCTGAACTCTAGAAACAACATAGAAAGTTTAATCTTATTTTTTCTGTGATTAATAAGTAAAATGGGAAAAAGATAAAAAGAGCCTTTAAAACAGTTACAGGCATTAATCAAAATAAAAATGTAAAAATCTCAGTATTGCTGTCCTTGCTTTATACCAATGTACTTAAAAACAAACTCCTAGGCTTTCTTACAAATATAACCACATTCCATATCTAAAAGCAGAGCTTAGCAAAGTTGTAAAGAACTAAATATAACCCTTTCGAACAAACATACATTGAACGACAGCAAGGTCAGTCTGTTCTGAGGAAAAACTTGAGCAGTAATTTGATTTAATTTTTATGTGTCTGCTTAAAACACATGTTTATTTCCACAAAACATTTAAAAATGCCATGCTAATAATAACCTCTCACCCCAAAAGCAACGTTTACAGCCAACAGTCTAGTCAACGAAAACAGGTAGCTGCTTATCAAAGTTACTTTCAGCTGCCTTCCTCTTCCGATACCTAAGGCTGAGTTGGTACTTTAGAGTTCTTTTCTCTCAAGAAGCTACCTGTCACTAGGTTTGGAAGACTGCATAAATATAYCTCACCATAATGCTCGGTATACAAGTACCCAAAATGCAGCACATTTACTTAAAAAACTTAAAGCAAGGCAGGAAATCATGCTGGAATAGGAGAGTACACTTTCCATGATTTTCAGGATTCCTAATGGATCACATTATTTTGGGAGGGAAGGGGAGGAGGTATTGCTTTATTTTTTAAGAAAAYAGAGACATTCAAAATCATAAAGAACTATGCCATGTTGCATGAATATGAGAGATACAGAAATTTAGCTAGCTCTGCCACATGATGAACCACAGACTTAATCAGATGAGACAAATGAACAGAGAAAATAAAGCATTAGGTAAGAATGTTCCTTAACGAACACATTTAGTGGACAGAAACTAAGCTATATTTTAAAAACACTATGTAATATTTAGAAAAGATAAATACCAAAGTAACAGAACCAACAAYCAAGAGTTCAGGTCATACATACAAGCACAGATACAGAGAACTTTCTTTYGTACATTGTCTATTAAGCTAACTTTACAGTGGAATGGATTAACGTGYCTCATAATTCTCAAACTTAAGTATTTCATATTGGCAAACAATGAGATACTAAATATATATTTGGGAATTAGCATGTTTAGTGAACGGTGATTTGTATGTGTACAGTTTGTCACATGGACTGTACCTGCTGAAGAGACAGTATACTGTTTCTGTCTACATCAAGTTGGATCATTTTCATTTTCTCTTCCAAGTTAAACAACATTTGCTGATACTGCAGGAGCTCATCATCTTTTAAAGCTAAGATTTTCTGAAAAGAAGAAAAATACCATCAGAAAACCTGAAGTCATTCCTAAAAATTATTTTAAAAATGTATTAGAAAATACCTTCCATTCTTCAACTTTTGCATTTACAGCTGCCATGAGTGGATCATCTTCCTCATTTTTTGCTTTCAGCTGGTCTGAAAGATCCTGAACCTAGACATGCCATTTGGATGAACATCACATTATAAAAAGGTTTTGTGTATAAATATAAACACACTACATCAAGTACATAACTTCTAACAGAGCAGCATTACAGCAGCAATGGAATCACTTTTGTGCATGACCAACATTTTGTACAAAAGAAGTTTTTGTGATCTGCAGTCAAATTTTAAAATTGGTACCACATTAAAAGATCACACTGCTTTTAAAGAGCATTACTTTAGAGGAGTGTGTGGTTTTGACTGCATAGGTAGAATGTTTTAAATTAAGTTAAAATATGAAAACAGAGTAGAAACCTAAAAAAAAAATATTAAATGAGTCTATTCTTACTTGAAATTTGTACTGATCTTTCTCTTTTCTTAACTCATCCATAATAATATCAGATTGTTGCACAATTAGTTTCATTTTACTATATTCATCAGTCATCTTCTCCATTTCTTGCACTGATTCCTCAAGATTTTTCCTCATTTCTTGGTTCTGAATTTCTAACTTCTCATTAGCTTCAGTCAAATTCTGCAAAAATAAAGAAAACACTGCTTTTAGAAAATGATCAACTTAATACCTGAATAAGAACTTGAAAGTCTTTATATGAAATTAGCACAGAATAGAGTATTTCACCTCTAAGTTATCAATTTCAACAAATCCAAACMGCAAATAGAAGACATATTGCCTTAATAGGAACTTTACTACGTCTGTCAGATTCATAGATGCAGACTGCATGTATGACAGAACACTACTATACTATGAACTTGACAGAGCATCGTGAAAGACACCAGGGTCAGTAAAACTCCAGTAGATGGTCAATAGAATGCATAGATTTTTACCTGAATTTCATCCAAATACTGGACAAGCTCAGAGCTTCTTTTGGACAACTGTGATGTGTAATTAGAAACCTCTCCTCTTCGTAATGGAATTGCTTCTTTTTGAGAATCTATTTGCCTCTGATAGTCAGCTACATCCTGACGCAATTGCTCATTCTGCACAAAAAGCAATCTAAACTTAAATCCAACTTAAATTCAACTTAAGAGTTGAAGACAAAGTCTTCTAGCAAGCTAACACAAAGAGCTAAGACAGTCAAAACCCATTCAAAGTCCTACAGTCTGCTTTTAAAAGTCTTAGAAGCCTCACCTTTTTCTTTACATGCTTTTTCTTCACATTAAAAAGAAGCAAACAAGACCAAAAGAACAAAAAAATATTAGAAATTAGAAATTCCTTTGCTTTAGGAAGACTAAATGTTAATCAATATAGACAAAATAAAATAGCTTTCTATCAGTGAATGCATATACATACACAGACATATGTAGAGACGTATTTTGACATAATATTCTCAAAGTTTTATCCCACGACAATAATTACACAAATCTACTTGGCAACACCATTTAAGAAAAATACTAAAAATTGAAAACACAAAATCCAGGCCAAACTAATGCACAGTAGGACTATGCAAATGAAATGCAGAGACTTCCTGGCCTCAATTAACTAAGCTTCATTAGAGCAGATGTACAACAYATTTACTTTGCAGTAGTAAACAGGAAATGTTCCAAAATTAAACATCAYGCCACACCAAAATTATAAATACAGAAAAATAGCAATTTACAAAGTTAGAAAATTTACTGAAATCAGCAATAATTTTTGCTAACCTCTCTCCTGAATTTGATGTTCTCATTTTCAGCAYCTTCAATTCGAAGAGCAAGCTACAAGAAGACAGAAAAGCTTTATTTGCATCACAAACACCACAAATAACTCCAGCAAAAAAAAAAAAAGCAATCAAAGGTGCAGCAGTCCTATTTGATCAGTGGTTTGGAATTTTTTTTTTTAAATTTCAAAGGCCTTTTTCAGAAGATCAACTTTTCAAAATAGTTGACAGAACAGCTTCTACAGATGTCAAGCTCAAGTCCTTCTTACCTGTTCATTCACTTTCTTCTCCTTTTCCAGTTCTTCTTCTATATCTGTTAACTGTCTCTCTTTTTGTTCCAACTGCTTTTCCAGTTGGCGGATCTCATCACGCAAAAAACGAGTATCACGACCACCAGCAGATCTTTGTGCCAACTTATGAACATTAAAATAATGTTATAAATACAGTAGCTATTCAAAGTACAAACAATGAAAAAAAATGAAAGCAGATGTTAAGACTAAAATACATGGGATTTTTCAAATATAAAAAAGTCATGTAATTATTCACCCAAGACTGGTGCATATTCAAAAATACAATAAATAGCATTTGTTAAAATGTAGGGCTATTTCATACCTTCRCAAAATTACAACACTAGTCTAAAATCAAATAATTTAAAAAACCCACCAGAGCATTCTGTAAACTAAGGACATTTTAAAACATACCTCTAATTCATTTTGAAGTTTCATCAGCTTTGTTTTAAAATTATTTTCTGTTAAAACAGAACAGATAGAGTGAATTACCCAACAAGCTAAAAAGCATATAAAACAACAATGGTTAACCTTAGTCTTTAAATATTTGGCTTCATTGAAGCAATTTACTTCAGTGCAGTTGGTATTTTGTCCAGTTCCTTAAACCTAAAAAACCCCACAAAACAACAAAAACCTGAAAAATACATTTAACAAATCATTTAGGAACAACACAAAAAAGCTTGTTTACCACATTTGGCCTGCTCTTCCCCAGCTTTTTCAACTTCTTCTAGTGCCAGTTCTACCTCTTGAGCTTTCATCTGAGAAAAGAAGCATAGTAAGCAAAGAAGAAATATTTACTACCAACATAAACTAAAAGATTATTCCATAGACCCGTGTTTWAAATACCGAAAATTTTTATTTTGAGAAATTTGTTTGCATTTTCCATCTATATAATTATTTGAGTCTAATTCACTTCATTTCCCACTAGAAAATTCCAACAGCTACAAGCAGGTACTTTGGTGCAAGCACACATTTAGCACATACATTACCTCAGGAGCAACCTGAGGTGTTTTCAGGAAGAGTGGAAAAAGATAACAATGATGCTTCCATTTGAACAAAAAACAAATAAATAAATAAAAGAAAAAACACCAAAAAAACAAATGCATCTGCAGAATTGTAGAAAGTGTGCATTAATACATACCTTTAGTAGAGACTGAGTAACTTTAAAAAGGTGCATCAGTTTTTCAGGAGTTTCAGTTTTTATGTCTTTTCCATCAACCTAAGGAAAGAGACAATAATAGTTTTACACTAATACCAAAGAAATCCACAAAATAATAAATCTTTCRTGTATGTGAAGGAGCAGAGAGTTTAGGGAAGAAAGTATAACAAAACCCTCATGTTCCCTTTTTCTCAAGCACCTTGAACAGTATATCCAGCAATCTGTCTGCCAGTTCCTCTTGATGAGGCAGAGAATCTGGATCAACTTTCATGAGCTTCTTCCAATTTAAAATGGGTGCCATATTGAACTTACAATTTCTTTTTCCTGGAACAAAAATTAAAGTGCTATCAGGTATTATCAGTTGAAATCAATTTTAGGTCAAATGATTTAATGGAGGCTGGCCACTGAACCACACCAGATTATTTTAACAATTGTATCCATTTGAAACACTGATTAACATTCCATTCACATTTTGATCTATTGCAAACTGGGAAGTGAAAATAAAACCATTTTTTCTTTAAGTTAACAACTACATCATGCTCAGTGAATCTTTTAAACTACCAGTGGAGATCAGGACACATATGAAAACTGCACTTTAAGTTCAATATCCTTGTTTTCTACCCCATTTCTTAATGTGGTATTTTTATACTAACGAACAAACACAAATGGATGCCCTTTGAACCAGCCCTTGTAGGATAAACATCTTCTTATACTCACAAAAATAATTTCTAATATTTAAAACACAATGAACACCTTATTTTGTTTGATACTGTGAACACCTATTTAAATATAACTTCTTTTAGATTAGCATACTTGAGTTGACAAAAGGCATGAATCAACCYGGTGGGAAAAATCTCACCAAAAGATTTTCCACCTGGTGGGAAAAATCTCACCAAAAAGTGTTGGAAAGTTTTCTTCTACTGCTTACCTGCTGGCTGCTGTGGGTCACTGTGATTTCTCACATACCTGAAAGCCCATGGAGTATCTGAAAAAGGCAGAAGGGATTGGAAATCTTGGATTAGTCTATTCTCTATTCTATTAATAATTATCTAATCTTGGATTATTCTATTCTGGAGCTGTCTCTAGACTTTCTGATCAATATTTCAGAAAGTAAATTCTGCCAAGTTTAAAATAGAACATTTTTATGCACTTATTGCCCTAAATTATGAATATAGAATAAATGGTTAAGAAAAACTAAGAAAGAAATAAAGCTAACTAGAATAATAAATGTAGTATTAGTCAAAAAACTAATGACACAGCAGGGGTATGTACTTTATAGAAAAAAAAAATCAAGCTCAATCGGTAACTTCAACAATGCTATATGCTGAGCACAATATTTTGAGACCTGATCCATCATGCATACAGTTCCTCATTCAGAAGTTTAAAGACTCCAACTGAAACCTCCTTCCTTAATAAAAGGCTGAAACTCGTATTACTTTCCCAAACAAATACGCCTCAGCATTCTGAAAGTAGACCTGTAAGATTCAGAAATCCAGCTGTATGCTTGAGGATAAAAATGACCCTTTGTTCATCTTTTCCAAATATGTGAACTACTTAAGAGCTCCCCTATATTTACATTTCTTCAGTGTTTGCTAAACACAAAACACACAGTACATCCAACCCACGACTCCACAAGCACAACACCTTAGATACATTTTTGCTTTTCTGTTTTTCTGTAGGTGGCCAAGGATAATACAAGGAGCATAGTGGCACTTCTATGTTAATTGAATATTACTTRAGTTATTCAATTAATTGAATACTACTTGATTTCAATAACATACTTGTGTAAAGATCAGTTTTTAAACGTATTCATTTTTTCTTAAACAATGAGATGTAGAACTTAGAAGTTTGAAATTGCTTATCAAAACCATTCTGAAAGCAAATACCCTACTTTCAATCCTTTCCCACTTCCAGCTCTCATATATCACATGGTGATACCTTATCATCATAGTGAAATCAAGCACCAGTAGGAACAGCTGTTCTATCCCCACCAAGGTGTGGATAACGGGCAGCACAGTTACMCTCGAGGGGGATTAAATATCAGGAAGTGCCACGGTCATGCGGGAGATGTGCTCTGCTAAGTCCGCATTTGCCTACTAGGGGTAACCAACCCAGTTTAAGCTACTTTTGCCTTTCAAATTCAAATTTACCCGGAGTAGCTCTGCGAAGCACTAGAGCCCCAACCAAGAGAGGATCTACAGGGCTCCCATTCTCTCCTAACTGGCGTACCCCAGTCCCGGGAATGATAAAGTCCCAGCCCGCGATCCCTCCAGGATGCTGCGGAGACAATTTTGCCCCCGTTTCATTCCAGCTCTGCTGAATGAACAAACTGCCTTATTCGGCGGCCGCCTGCTCAATGAGGCGCAGCAGAGGCACCAGCCAAGAGCAGACAYCGCGGGACGCTTCTTTCCCAGGCTCAGCCTGCGCTCCGCAGGAGCGGAGCGGCCACGCTGCCGCCTCCGGCCCAGTTGCTCCCGGGCTAGCGCGGGCCGCTCCTGCCGGCGGCAGCTTTTGGTCTCCTTTCCCAGAGCATCGCCCGCCCCGTGGCCTCACCGCTCCCGGACGATGGCGGTGGCCGCTGCCAGGCGACGCCATCGGACTCTCCCGCTGACCCGGATACTCGTGGGCGCAGGGAAAGWCAGCGCCCCCCGGCACTCACAAACAAGCCCACAAGCGTGCCAAGTGCGCTCTTCCAGTCCCGAGGGACAGCCGCGAGGGCAGGGCGCGATCACGCCCGGGCGCACCGCTTCGCCGGGACCACAGCCCCGAGCATCAACCCCACCGCCAGGCGAGCTCCACGGAACTACAACTCCCGGCATGCCTCGGGGCCGACAGCACCGCCCACCTTCCCGATCGCCGCTGCGGGGCGGTGGGCGGGGCGGCGCGCATGCGCTGTGTGCGGCGGCGGCGGAGCGCGCGGTGGGTGGCGGTTCCGGTGGTGGGGCTGCGGCTCCGGTGTTTGCCCCGGCCTCAGGTAGGGCGGGCACGGCGCGCTGCGGCCGCGCCCCCGGGACGGGCCTTCTGGAGTGGGGAGAGGGAGGCGTGGGTCCGGCGTAGCTGCTGCCCGCGGTAGTTTCGGTTCTTTCTCCGCTGGCCATGCCTCCCGTGCCTCGTCGGTGAGCCCTCYGCGCCTGCCGGGCCGCGGAGCAGCCTCGACCCCTGACAACAACGCCTGAGCAGTGTGCGGCCTGTGCCCTGGTTCGGCTGCCTCCACCACCCAGCCTGCCTTTGCCTAGCCTGCCTTGCCCAGGGCTGCGGGCAACGTGCTGGTTCCTGCCCGGCTGGCGGCTGGGCTCCGGGTACGCGTGTGCTTTGGGGTTAGGCAGGGAGTAGTAGGGGGACAGAAGGCACCTCGGGGCGTGGTGCAGTGCGCGGGAAAGATCGCACCTATAAACTACTCAGATCCATTGGGTACTGCTGGCCAGCAAGTCTGAATTTTGGTAGTGGTCTCATAGCCCAGAAAGTTTAGGATCCTGTGTTTCAGTTAAATGGGCGTGAAGACATCTTTAAAAAAAAAAAAAAATACTAGTAACTATTCCAGGCGTGTTTATCTCTTTGTATTTATTTATTTAACGGCTGTGGAGAGCTGAAGCAGATTTGTTTTGGTTTGCTTTTTTTTTAAATGGTAAGAACAAGGTGATCATAACGTTAATCTTCGTATTTTTGCTGGTTTTATCTCTGGATCAGTGTTATTTAATGAAGACTGACAAGATGCAAGATGATTTCCACTCCTTATAATTATGGAGCTTGTTCCAGTTACAGCACAACTCCAAAGACTTCTATGTTTCAGCCAGGGATTGGTAAATTATAGTTCCATATTGGGTGTATAAAGCAAACTGTGTAGTCAGGGAAGGGAAAGAGACTCGGTTACATTTAATGAATGGGTAACGTTACTAAAAATAAAATAAATTACGGCTAATTGTAAAACAACGATTTCTTAGTAGCCAGGACTTTTATAGGTGTAAGAAKTGACACAGAAAATAATGGCACCGTAGCCACAAAACAAGCCTTCAGGAAATGGATCCTCCTGTGGTAGAGAAAATAATCCATTGATGTTAGGATGCTTCTGTATAGTAGCTTTTTTTTTTGTGCCCTTTATCAGATTAACAAGGTGTTAATGTAMTCTAGTTAGTATGTGTCAGCATTTTTGAGTGTTCTGTTACACAGCCGACAGAAAACATAGTTTTACATTTGCTGGTAGTGAAACCACTTCTAGGTTTTAATTGTGTGCAGCTCGTAGAGATGATTGGTGCAGAAGTAAAAGGTATTTGGTTTTGCGGTGGGCATAGAAACTCCAAAAGTGAAAAATCCATAAAAAGAATTGAAGTATTAACCCCACACAAAATGAGAAAACATTTAAACTATAGCATGGCTTGGACCAAGTAAATTAGTTTCTGTTTTGTTCTGCCTCACCTTCCCAGATGAACTTTGTGTAAGTGCATCTTCTTTTATTATTTTGAAGGAAAAAAAATTCATTTTAGCTCCATAGTGCACAGTTTTACCTACTCTGTTAGAAGAGCTAGGCGTACGTGTTAAGCCGCAGCTTTGATAACAGTGTGCCGTTGCAAAGACCTAACAGAAAAACTGCTATGAAAAGTCTAATGGAGTGTTATTTAAAGTACCACGAGAAATTGTATACAGACTAGGCATACTAAATAATAGAGTTGCAGAGTCTAAAGGCTGTGTTTTGAGCTTGTATCTCACATATAGCTTTTGTTCATTTACTCTTTGGTATAAACAAGCATGCAGTTTCTGCTGTTGCATTTCTAGAACACTGAGAGTGGTGATCAGTGTTATTTTAGAGACACTATTTTTGCATCAGTGTCCTGTGAGGCAACAAAACATGTTTTATTTAGTTACACTAAGTAGAAAGGTATTATTTTATTACTGTTTCAATGTAACAAAAAAAAAAAAAAACATAAAACAACCAACCAAAGCAAACCTAAAACCCCTAAAGGTTTGACGTTGAAGTGTGAGATTCTGCTACTGTTTTAAGTTATAAAGTGCAAACTAGACCTGTGTGGTCTCTATTTCAACTGACTTGTACCAGTTGCATTGAACAAATTGAAGCTAAACTACCAGCTAAACTACCATCTTCATCTTACCCATTTTAAATTGTGTAGTGTTTTGATACTTGCTTGTACCTGAGTAACCTAAAATGTCCTGAGTGTTGGTTCAGCTGCSTGGTTGCCAGCAAGTTCTTCAGTCTTTCCCCTTGGGAAGTCTTTGATCTGACCTGTAGCATGTGTTCTGACTTTGTATCAGAACTGCTGGTCTTCTTCAGAAGAAGTTAATCCTTCAGAACCGTAAGAAGAGAAGGCTGGAGGCCATTGTCTTCCTGCATAGTGAAGGGTACTTCATAGCAGCCCGATCCCTCTTGATCTGGTAGTATCTCTAGAGGAAGGTTTTCACAATAAAACTTCCCATGTTGTATTTATTCCGTTTTAGGATCCCAGCAAGATGAAAGGACAATCCAGGCATGTTTTCCATTATTTCTTCTCTCATCTTACCAAATACTTCTCACCTTCTACATCAGATTCCAACCCAATCATTTTAATCTCAGCTGTGCATCTAAGCTGTTTCATAGTGGAGTTGTACTTTGGAGTGGCATTTTTAAGAGAAGATAAAGTTAATGGCTTTGTTGGAAAGGTACAACAAAAAAAATTATGATCTTTCTCTGTCATTAAACATTTGTATTAAATCAGCGTAAAGAATGTTCAGTTTAGCCAAAAATAAACAAAGGTTAGCAAGTAGATGATACAAACTAAGACATTAGCAGAACCTCAGAAGATGAATTAAAATGCTATTTTTAGTGACTGTAATACTGGTTTGTAGATATCTCTGTTGATATTTATCAGTTCAGCTACCAGCTCTTAGATTAACTAGTTGCTCACCTGTTTAAAAATAACCCTAGGAGTGGTTTTAAACAGCCCTTTGTTGTCTTCCACCTTTGATGATTTGAAGGTTTTCTGTGTGAACTGTAAATATGTTCTAAACAGYTCAGGATCTTCAGTGCTTAATAAAGTTTATGTCTCTAGAGTAAGTAAATCTCCCAAAATGCCTGATTATTTTTTAACAAATAGGCATAAAGTCAGTTTTCATCAATGCCTTTCAATCTATGAAAGTGCYATAACTCAGTAGAAGAAAAATATGTAAATGTATGTTTAAGTTTCTAAAGTTCAATAGTAAGATGTGTCTGATGGACAAAAACATGTTTATTTCTGCAAGAGTCTTTTAATATGAGGTGGCAGATACTTAATTATGGAGTGCTTTTGCATGTTTTGGGATTGCAGCTGTATTTTTGCCAAGATACACGCTTGCCAATTTCTTCTAAATTCTAATGGGCAGAAAATGGCTTCCGCACTCACAAATTTCCTAACTGAGGATACTCTTAGAACATCATTATGTATTTTTAATTTGTGACAGAGATTTTTTTGTATTTTTTAGACTACTGCATCTTGTAGTATGTGGTGCTAAACCGTCTTCAGTGTCATGGATTTAGTAGCTATTGTTGAGAAAAACAATACTGTTTTCTTACTTTCTGAAAGTGGCTTTTGGTGGTTGTTGCTTGGTTTTTTGTCAGTGTTTTTTTCAGTTTTGTGAGATTTTCCTATGTTTTGCTCTTGCATGTGATTCTTGAAGACTGGATGAACTGTTAAGAGGAATCGCAAGAAGTTGAAAGAGGAAAACTGCACCTTCTGAGCCCTATGGGCTTGAGAGTTCTGGTTCTCTTCTGTCCTTTCCACTTAATGTCCACATGTTTTCATGTGAAAATGGTGCACTGCAAAATGCAGATTTCTATGCCAAACAGCTTGAGAAATTTAGTCCAATGATAGGGTATCTTGCACAGCCTGGGTGTTCTTTTTTTTGCAGTTGACTCTTTGACAACTGTGCAGTTTCTGACTCTCAAGGCTTATCTTTCTGTTTGTTGTTTTCAGCTGTATATTCTTCATTACATGGTCAGACTGTTGTAAATTAAAGCATCCAACAGAAGTCTTTGTAATAAAGTATGTCAAGTATGTGTCTGTCCTGATTTCATCCAGTCAAATGGTAGTTMTGTGGCTGTGTGCTAGACCATGAGCTGGTATTCATATAGCCCAAGGGGTGGTTAAGGTATCTATGGGGCAGTCTTAGAAGCTGTGAAAGTAGCAGGTGGGTGAGATGAAAAAATAACTTGAGGGTTGATCAGTCTGTTTGCATGTGTAGGACTAGACAGTGATGTGGTTCTCTCTCATAGCAAGTCTGTGTTAACAAATAAGTTGTTAGGCGGCATTTTGCAGGTGTTTATCAAATGCATCTATCACTGGGAGTGAAGTACTGGCACTTGCAAGACCATACTTAGGTTGATCAATGTGTCCGTGTCCGTGTGCTAAGAAGGGTAATACATCCACTCACATGAGGAGCCCAGTCATACTAAGGCTTCAGCAGCCTCTTCCAAATCCATGGTTACAATGTTCTGAGTCTTCTATA